GACCACCCTTTAGTAGAATGTAATGTACAGTAATAAAATAACCTTCCTTTAGGACCTTTAGCGATCTGTATTTACCTCCTTTCTAGAATTTTTCCAGTTTTGAAACGGCAATTTCTTATTCTTTTGGCCTAAAGATATATCTCAGTATATCTTTAGGCATCTCAGCATTCATGGGTTTGCGAATGAATGTTTCTTACGCTAATACCTTTCTTCAGTTAATCTGATACTCTGATTAAATAAATACATTCTCGATCACAATTTCATTTTCAGATCAAAGCTGGATCGACGCTTTTCGCAAATTTAACAGCTGGCCATCTCGTGAGAGTTCCGATTCAGTGCCGTAGAGAAAACTCTGAGGATGATCTCTCAAGCTCTTGCATCGTGTTCATGGGCGAAGGAACTGTTGAATGTAAGGTGTCATATGAAAACGAAAGCGCTTTAATGTCAATAAGACAACCTGGACGTATCCTGTCTTTGTTGTAGTTTTTGGAAAAAGCTGATGACTAAAACACAAAAGGCGATTTCTTTGTCACTGATTCGGGTTGTTCGTATTGTATAAAATACTGTTTCTCTTATATGGCAAATTAACTCAAAGACCTGAAGCAGGGAAAGCAGGGGCTTATAGGACCGCCATATTGTAAAATGTAATGTGCAGTAATAAAATATCCTTCCTTTAGGACCTCCTTCCTTCTCGATATTCTTTTTTCTAGACCCCAATAAGATGGGAGCAATGCCTTTTCTTCTACTAATAAGATCCATACCCTGAGGGACTTCAGTTAAAAAAAAGAAAATGGCGTGGCTTTGTGGAGCAAGTCATGGCCTTTTTAATTTGCTTAATTTTTCTTTGTCCTTTTTTTTATTAGGTCCATATCCTAGGCCAACTCTGGCACCAGGTTTCAACCAGGCGACTTTGCCAGCACCAGTTCTAGAAAGACTAAATTCTACAGCAACCCTTCCAACTGTGAAGACCACGACTTCAAAGACCGTAACTATGGCCGAGACTACTAGAGGCCCTTCTCCAACAAAAGAAACCACGCAACCGCGACAAACTGAAAAAGCAACGACTGAGCCAACAACATCTCAGGTAGGCTATGTTACATTATATCAAACAGAAAGCAGTTATTCTCAAGTACATTTAAAAGGAAATAGATTCAAGAAAAAGCACATGACCAGAACCCCAGAAGAAATTTTTTGTGCTAAAGGATAAGAGAGCCTTCAAATACTGTGGAGCCGAGTAAGGTTCTTCTATTTCCTGGGAATAACCATATTCTATATTCATTTCAGAGCGCGAGAACAATGCCACCTCAAACTGAGCAGGTATGGTAAATTAAATTATTTCTATAACGTAATTATCCGTATTCACACCTTCTGCGAGAATCGAAAAGAGACTGCTGCTCAGTTTTGACTAAACAACATGCCCGTCGTAAATATATGTCCCTGGAATCAGTTTCATGCGATAAGACACGGGCTCAAATTTCTATAAGTCTACAAAGAAAGTCTACAGGACTTGTGTCTTCTTACATGTAATGATTGTCATTTCCTATGCGTAATTCAAGGATTATATATCGAAAGCAATTTCTTCCACGTGTGCATCGATCTCTCTTTGTCATCGACCTTTCGTATTCAACGACCTCGCACCGACCTAACTCTTGTCATGTATACAGTAAGCCAAAGCTCCAGTCGGGGAAAGCTCCACTTTTGGTAATTTCGTTTTCTTTTGTTATGTTCGGTTTGTACATTTAGCCATCACAGGGGGAGACAGCTCAAAGAACGCAGAGCAAAAAGAACACTTACATCATAGCTGGATCTGTAGCTGGAGGAATTCTCTTAATAGCCTTAATACTGCTCATCTTATGGCGCTGCAACAGTCCCAAGTAAGGCTATATAATAGATAACAACACGTTACTCGTTAGAGCACGAGCTGAGACAAAGAAATCAACTGAGTAACCCAAGAGGAACGGATCCCAATCCGATACCCCACCAATGAGCTGTAGAGAACTCGTTGGCGAGCTTCCTGCATACCTAGTGTAAGATCACTACGACTGCAGCTGAACTGAACCGTGAATCCAAACTTTCATCACCTATACACTAAGACAAATTAAAAAGTTCGTGTCTCTTTTTATGAATGGTTCTTTCACATTCATCCTTACACAGCGTAATGGGCAGTGCCATTGCCAAAACCAATTTCTCACTGACTTTTATTTGAATGAAATGTTTAGGAGGTTTATAAGGGTGTATTAAAAAACCATGTTACCTTTTACCACCGAGAGTTTAATAAAGAATAGAGTACTCCACCTTTCGGCAGAATAAAATCAATGTTATCACAAATAGAAACGGAACACTCTGCAAGCAACTGTTTCATAGCGTTACTTTTGAATGCAATAATGTCCCTTCTTTTTTTACATTCAGGAAACAACCAAATTCGCATCGTCGTTTAGAAGGTAAGTTAATTTGTAACAACTCTATCACAATAAAACAAGACCTTTGACGAAATATACTTCACTTATTTCAGCTTTGTGATTTTGTCAAAAAAAAAAAACTGGGGAAACACCTCGAAAGTGTCATTACACTGATACGTTTGATCGTCGTCAGGACATATTTATAAGACATGCTCTTTACACAACAGATCTGTTCATAAAGACTAAGTCCACCCACTTGTTTTATTTTAGGGTCGATTACCAGCCCCGTGTCTCACGTGAGTATACAACTGTGGATTTTATCACAAATCTTTCGTTCCTGTCAGAAGATCAAATTGAGCATGCATTGTTCAGTTAAGTCGAAAAATATTATTGTTGAACGTGTAGGGCTTAAAAATTGTTACTGTTTCTCTTTTAGATGAGTCGACATTCAATTCCTGTCTATTCGGATGCTTCTTATCTCTCTCCATTAGGGACCTTCGACGAAAGGACGAGGAGCTTGGGTAGGTAATATGTAAGGCTTGTAGGGATAACGCAGAAATTCGTTACAATGTATCAAGGTGTGCGCTTTTAGAAGAGAACAGCTTGTGTTTTTTTCTCTCTCTAGCACCAAACTGAAACTCCACGCAGATGAACGCATTTTACGCTAGATTCTGTTACCGGAACTCTCTTTTTATTTCTTTGTTTTATTTCATCCTCCAGATAACCCCGTTTATCGCGGGGGCTCAGAAGGGCTATTTGTGTCGGGCTTGGACATGAAACGAGGGTCTATCTACTCAGATCATTACCCCACAAACCCTCCTCCCAGGCCTCCACCAGGATCTTCAAAGCGCGGTAGCATGAACGGACAAGTGAACCCAGCTTTGGCGCTAAGAGAAGAATATGTGACAATGAATCCACTGTATGAAGGACAGGTGATGCACCACAAAGATCTTGAAGAGCTGAACTGCAGCGACTTTGGAGTCAGCGCCGATCAAGTTGTTCTCGATACGAGAAAGGATCCTGAAGGTAATATGAGCAAACCCGATGTTGCGCAACAACTAGTGAAGGGGTAATTGACCTATCACCACTGGTGCGCGCTTCATGAGTCTTGAAGCCAATAAAACCAGCCTGGCATTACCAGCCATTCAACTTTCGCAAGCAAACTTAAAGTACACAACTAATAAACAACTCCTCTGACCTTAAATGGCTATCGCCTATATGGCTGAAACGTCAGTAACTTTCACGGTCAACAGCACTCGTTTATGACACTGCAGAAAAATGCTACTAAATCATAGTATCATCCTTATGAGTGACCATCACACAAAACGTACTGAGCAATATTTTTATCTTTATCCAGAGTTCAACGACGACACCTATGACTGTCCAGGAGACATCTTGAATTCTAGATCCGAAGCAAGAGCATCACCGATCCCCGTTTTTTATGCCCTGGACGAATCATACCCGGACAGCATCTCCAATACCTTCCACAGAGACAGCACTTTCAGAGGGCGTCCAGATGGACGCGTGTATGATGAGCCTGAAGGTGACCTTAGGAGAAGCCCTTATATTGTTATGGACAATCAGAGAGGTAGTGACCCTTTTACCTAGCCGTTGACCTATAACTGTTTAAACGATCCTCGTTTGCGGGAACACACTTGGGACTAAGACAAGTTTCACATGAATGGATTGAGAGGCGTAAATTACATTGAGATAATGGATATTATTGAATAATAACCATGGGAACAAAGTTTGCATCCACCCAGTGGTGATCCGAAAGTATAACAATAATACTGCTATAAATTTCAATAGATGGCTGATATCATTTGACAGGCAGTATACAACTACAACGACGATATCCCCGATAAATAACAACAAACAAACAGAATTGCACGTCTCACAAGGGTATAGAATAGCGAAGTATCATCTTGCAAAATCTCTTGATTCATTCTTTTAGACAGGACGACTTTCTCCAGTAGGTCGATATGAACAATTGGCTTTTACGAATTTCACTTGACGCCTCATGTGTCTGAGTGTCATGTGAACCACAATAGAATGAGTTGTTTTAAGGAAAGGGAGGGTCTGCAGAAAGGTGGATGGACGTAAATATGAACGGGATTTCATCTCGGCCCGGAAACAGCCGCTGAATAGTAAGGGTGTGTTGTTTACATAAATTATGACTTTTCTCATACTTTTTGTTTAATTTCATCGAAGGTGTAATCTACTCTCATGACTATGACGAGCCACCCCGCGATGAGGAACTGCTAAGTATTCGCAGGCTAAGTTCTCCAACTCATGGCATCTTGAAGACTGGGAACGGGTCACCAAGCACAAAATACCTTCCTCGATCGGGGCACTGAGCATTTCAATATGTTAATTGAAATAACCTCGACCTGACAACCTGTTTGAAGATAGAGGCCTTCAGTGTAGTTTTTTTTTCCTCGCCACCTACCCAATAAGGCGCAATCTCCTTCTTAAGAGATCCTGCAGTATACGAGTTAATTCTTAAATGAGCCATACATAATTGATATAATTACTAAGACCTAAATTTTGATCGGGCATGTATAATTCCGAAGAAACCAGTTTCCGCCCGCCCGCCCGCCCGCCCGCGATAGAAATCTTCCAAACAGAAACAAGCATTAGAGGATTAGAACTATCTAATCCTCTTTAAGAGGCTCTGCTTCGTCTAGCCAATGTGTGGGCTAACAATTAGACTATCTTCTTGATAAGTGACGAACAACGTAGTTTGTTTTTCGTTGTTGTTCTGAAGACTCAACACTATGATGAGACTACTGCTTAAGGAGCACTCCTGTTGCTACTGCTTATTTGACACTCCTGAACCTTCCTTGTGAATCATATCAGATTTTTACACTCATTTGCGAAATTATCTGGTAAATAGGTAGTGCATAATGAGTTTGAGAAATAAATATTTGATTGAAAAATGGTTAGCTTCGTTTAGAACCTATGCATTTGCATTTTGATAAGTATTCTGTTCATTAAGTATATGTATATGACGTATCGGTAACGATAACAAAATTAATTCCTATATGTGATGTTGCTAGTGAGACTGAGTTTAAAAGAAGTATATCAAATACGAAAATTTACACAGTGATTGTCATTAGTTCTTGAGGTTCATTGACAGATTCATTCGTGGATCAGAAATAACTAAATCCCCAGAAAGTAATCAGTACACCCTGTATAATTGATTTCAATGGTGGCACTTTGTTCCAAGTATGCTACATATTCATCCCATGTTCCTGATAAGAGTATCATATGGGATACTTATCGAAAGAAAATTCTCGAAGAAAGGAGTAATTCTTCATCATTTGTGTTACGCGTACTTTTTGTTCCTCAGTCCAAACTACTTTGTGTCTTGTGATTGAGGGGGTTGAAAACAGGATATTGCTACATTTCTCGAAGTAATCCTCAGAACATGCGACGTTTAAATGGTCGCATAATCTCTGGAGAGTTTCTTTAGGTCTCAGTATAGTTTCGTGCCCTGCAATATCGACAACTTCATCGCCATAAAGTTCCCGGATGCGTTGGTTTGCAGCCGCTAATTTGAAATAGCGGTTAATAGACTTCTCCAAGTCTTGGGCTGTATTGTTTATCTGTTAGATGAGAAGAAAAGAAAAGAAAAGAAAAAAAGAAAGTTTTGAGCGCCATGCCTTTTGTGAGGATTTGGAACCCAGTTAACTTCAATGTGTCGCCAAATGAATGTCACCAAATTTAGAGTAAGAATATCTACAACGTTCCTTACTTGCGTTCCTTCTTCAATCACAGCCTCTCGCGTTCCTGTTTCTCGAAGTGTCATGGTGGCAATGTTGTCAAAAGGGTTCCTGACAATGTGTATAAATCTCAGCGGTACTTGGAGGGTTTGCCTTATTTCTTTTAGAATGTCTATTGCCGTTGATAAGAACTCTGAAGTTTTACCAGCTTGCTTATCGCCGATAACCTTAACCCAAAATAAATAAACATAATTCACTATGGGTTTTAAGGCTTTAGTTCTATAAAAACTAAAATGTTCTTAGCATATCTGCTCCTAGCAATTGTACCTGATTGCCACCGATGTTGGTATTTCGGTTATGCATGTATAAGAACCCCACTTCTGTATGCCATACAGTGTAATTCTATTACTGGTTATCATGGACTTTGTTTGTACCACAATTCCATATACATGTATCATTCTGATAAAAAAAAAAACCCCTTTAACTCCGACGAGTGACCAAGACAGAATTTCTCCTTACGATATCGATACAATGTCAAGCAGACAAGTGACGAGAATAAAGAAAAATATCAATAGGGGGATTATAAACTGATCCAATACCAAATTCTCCAAACTAACATCACAAGATCTGTATGGCAGACAGTAGGGAGAATGACTAATGAGACCTTGGGAGTTAAAGGGTTAAGTATCTTGCCCGAGAACACCTACACAGACCCACGATAGGGTCACTATATAGGGGAGTTAGCCACTGTATAGTGGGTGGGGGGGGGGGGGGAAGAGAGTGAGTGAGGGCATTCAGTAGCAAAGGGCATCAACGTCTTCGAGAACTACGAGAAAAACCTAAAACTTTGACTCACTGAACTAACCTTAATTTTCCTTTGATATCCACCTTGCCATAAACCAGGCACATTGTAAGTGTACCTGAACTTTGGTGCAAGAAGCGTCTTACTGAATGTAGCACGCCTTCCAAATAGTGCATCCCTCAAGGAAAACTGATGAAGGTCATAGAACAGTGCGTACTTTTGTAGGTTTTTCTTTTTCTTCAACCGCGCTGAGCGGTATTTTTCCCATTTTCCTAGCACACCATACTCGTGTGATATAATTATTTCCGGGTGAGCATCCAATAGGGCTCCCACTAAACTATGAATGCTACGTGGATAACCAATGAACAAGAGAAACGTTTCCACTCCATCATACAATCTGAAATGACTCTCGGCATAAGAGACTAACGATGACTCTTCTGAAAAGTAATCATGAGTAAACTTTGTTGTTCATAAATCCGTTATACACTTAGCTTGACAAAGTTTTTACTAAGTACATGCGATTGATGATAATTTCCGTGTGTGGATTTTGATAATCAAGTTACCGGAGATTTAGCTGTAAAGGATAATTTTCTCAATTAGTGGTTTGTAACTGCCATCAGACTTGGCTCTCATATGAAATCTTTCATCTCACCCTATCTTAAAATGCACTGACAGCCAAGCCTTCAAGCCTTCATTACAATACATGCATTTCTTATTTATGATACTGATGTCTACATAACATATGTGACAATACACATATATAGTGTGCTACCTTAGTGAATATGTAAAATGTATACTTGAACAAAGTACATATTCAGGTAGTCATGTATTTTACTTCATAATGTGCAGTGGCTGTTACAGCTCAATAGGTACTTCATAAAGTATTTTTCACGTTTTGTGACATTCATGATGCTGTTCGAATAGAGGAAAATAAGATAAGCTTTATATGATCTTGATGGTTAATAATGAGGACCAAAGGTCATCCCAGTTTCATTCTTTAGACTGCAATGTTCACCAAGCGATTTTCTGCAGTAGGTGTATGAAATTTTGTCTAAATTCAATGTTATATTAGACAGGGTGGGCCAATAATCTCAACTGTGATTCAACATCATTCATTCTATGACTTAGTCTGGGTAATTTTATAAAAATAATACAGGCTATAGGCAAGTGCTATTGTATGGAGTAGAGTAGGTTTTAAATGATTGATTTGAAAATTATGATTTCTTTGACAGCCTCTGCTTCAATTTTACCTACTGATTTCTCACTCATGAATTAAAGCTGAGCTTTGATAGAAATATCAGTTGCCAGCTAGAAAATAGTGAGTATGGAAAGAACGGGGTAGGTTTAGTATCTCAATGTCTAGTTTAGAACTAGAAAAGCATCTTCAGAAGGTTCATTCCACTCGATAAATTTAGGGTGACAGGTTCTTTTATGATTTTTTCAGGGTTTACAGTTTCTAGGGGTCTTTAAGGATCTCTACCAATACACACAAACCTAAAAAGTGGGAGATGCTTTGGCCTAATGGTTAGTGTGCTAGACTCCAGGTCAAGAGGTTCTTTTTCAAGACCTGGTCTGGGTTCCCTCTCCCCTGTGTTGTGTTCTTAGGCAGAACACTTTACTTTCACAGTGTCTTTCTCCAACCAAGAGTATAAATGGGTACCAGCAAATTATCATGGAAGCCTAAAGTAATAGTGGAGGTAACTCAGTGACTGAAATCCCATTTGGGGGGGGGGGGAGGGCATTAACACTTAATTCTAGTTGCTTCATTAGGGAAACCAGAATGAGATCTGGCAGAATGAGCCTATAAATACATATACATACATGTGCAAATGATGTTCTTAATGTACCTAAATTAACCACTCGTAAAAACCCCCATGTAACCTTTAGAGGTCACTACAGCCCTTAGGTCTTACCTAGTACAGCACATATTAACATTTTATTTCAACTTTAAGGAGAGGATTCTCTATACTAGATTTCAGTTTTGTGCACACTCATACAATGTTAACTGATTGGTTGGGTTGGAAATGACCCAACCTTGTCAGGTTTTTTCAACCTAGATTAGAGACCCTTCTCTGTAATAAGTCAGCTGCCAAAGCTTAACATATATAAAACTATTGTGCAGAATAGCATAATAGTAGAAAGCCATAAACAGTTTCTTGCAAAAAATAAAATTGGTCACAGTCTTTAAGATAAGATTTCATCAAAACAAATCAGTAAAGATAATTAAATACCAAATTAAAACTCTTCACAGATTTGGAGATTCTCAAAGACATGATGCAGTCAATAATATGCCACATCATGCATTGCTTTGTTTACACAACACAACAGATTTGTGAAGCAATCTTTGCAATCTTGCATTCTTTTCCAGAATCTTAAATTCATACAGACTGAAGATCTTTTGTAATGAGAATACCATATGATTTTATGATATTTTCTTCAAAGTTTATTTAAGATCAGCTTTGAAGATTATAGATCCCCCAACATATAAGGAAAAATACTTCAAGTTCTTGCACTAATTGGCACAAATCTTGAAGATTTTGGTTGATTGCCAGATTCTTGGAGAACTTTGATAATTTTAATTGATTATTAATTTATATGAACAAAGAATCACATTACAATAGTTTGAATCTGAAGAATGTTCAGTAAGCTATATCATGTGTGCTTAACCCATTGACTCCTACGTGTAACACGTGCCTACCCAAAAGTTAAAATTTTGGAGAAACCGGAAAAGTAAACACAATGCGCAGTAAAGTTTGACAAATCTTTTTTTCCCAAAAACAAGCTCACGTGAAAGAAGACCATTTAAATAACTTACTATCAACGAGGAAAGCAATAGATGCATATTAAGTTTTTACTCTAAAATCAAGATAAAAGATAAAAATCAGTAAATTTTTGCGCACGTGTCCAAAAAAAGTATGCGGATCGGATTTCAAAGTGAATATGCAAATTCATCGGTGTGTGGTGAGATCTCATGTTACATGGAAATTATAAATGAGGAGAAAGACAAAACTGACCAAGGAACGTTTCAGGAAGAAAGCTTTATTCAAAACAGTTCTTGATTTTCTGTTAGAACCGAAAAACGTACGAATTTCTTACGTGTGCGAAACCCACGAAGTAGAATTCATCATGCTTAGATCGATGTTTACTTGACTTCACGGCTAGAATATTGCGCAGCGTTGTGTTGAAAATACTGAAAGTTCTACGTTTTAACACAAAATCTTCTATTAAACAGTACTTTTTGGACATCTCATTACTCAAACATGATATTTACCGTGCCTTTGAATCTTCATAATGTCTCTAGGCCTCGCTTGAAGTCCGATAGTTCGGTTTTCGCTTTACGGCCCTAATTCGCATCGCTTTAGAGAATTGTAGTGTTGTCGACTCGAAAGCTTATTTTGTCGCCTTTAAGAACGTGATGTCCATTATTTTTCGAGCAGATTATTCTATAGCATTTTTCCTTTTCATTTTGTGTTCCAGAAGGTCTAAAATGGTGGGAAAGGAACAGAAAATCCGACTTGAAAATATTGAAAGTCGGCCGCGCGTACGCCATTTCTTTGTAGTTGATCATTTCTTGTGAACGCATAAAATGAAGCCTCTGTACTACCCCCTAGAGTTATCAAAATAACTGCGCAAAAAACGGATTCTGATTGGTTTATAGATCCTCTAACAACAGAGGAAGTTTGGAGACAAAATTCTGCTTAGTAGGGGAGATAGGGGGGAAAGCGTCTCTCGCGCAAGTCCCCCACGCGGCACGGGCGGTTACGGGCGGTTCAGGTGTCAATGGGTTAAGTACAGTACATTTAACAAGAAGAGTAAAAATTGAACTACTGTTTCAATATCTACACTATGGAAATTCATAGCAGGATTTGAATTATAGCATACATTTCTAAATTCATACCTTTACTTGCAACATAGCTGACTTGTATTCTAAGGACAAACCAGTCTTTTATTGACCTACTTTCTCATATAACGTGGATTGTACATTTCTTGATGCAGATATTTGAGCATGTCATTGTTCTCTCTTCATCACATCCATCTACAATGAATAAAAGAAAACTTTATTTATTTTATACAACACATCTGACGGAATCACTTTGTAAGTCATTATCTCATCCATTATTGACATCATTCCCCTTTCTTGTTTTATGTGTTAATGGTTTCTTTCTTAGATCTGTTCTTTATTCTCTTGTTTTCTAGGCTGGTCTAATTATGCCTTAAAATACATGCCTTAAGTCCTTAAAAACTACCTCATTTGAAAATACTTTGTACAAGATTACTCAGCTGACCCCAAAGGCTCTTTCACCCTCCCTTATAACTCATATTCTAGATTTAAAACACCTTCTGAACTCAGTTTTACATTACAAGGAAAGTTTTCATCAGGGTCCTAGCATTTGATCCAGAAAATATGACACCTCATGCTGGTGGGTAAACATGTTCAAAATAATGTAGACCTGTATAATGCTTCTACCTTGCATTGTGGATAATTTAATTGACTAAAACAGGTATTCCATTCCTGCTTGTTGGATGTAAGACTGGCTATAGCCAACTCCATACTATGCACCTCATTTGCTATTTACCATCCCATATCCACCACACACTCATGGAATAACTGTCAATTACCATCCATCAAATATTTTTGCTTGCACACACATTGGTCTAAACACATTAAGTGATCCAATATTCCACACCAAAAACTAAGGGATATCCAAGGATATCAGTCAAGTGAAATTCCCCAATTTTCAAACCTTATGTCCCCTTTGATGAGTCTTCATTTGAAAATTTAATTCAAGATTGTTTTGGAAGAAGGAAAATATTTCTTTGTTCATAAAGTCCTACCAGAGAACACAAAAGAAAAAATCCCAGAAAGATGTTTGCGAAAACTTTTTCGTAGACATTGCAAAATATTTGAAGGATAATAATAAGCAATTAGCCTCTATTTTGTGCAAAAATATGCTTGTTTATTTGTCCTTGGACATCATCTGTTTGTTAAAGCTCACATTTTTCCTTGAGCTCCTTGGAGAGGAGAGATAATGTCTGTAGACAAATATCCATGCATATTTTTACACCAAATGGAGGATATTGTTCCTGAACTCGTTGACTTTGTTCTTACACGTTAAATAAACAGTACTCTGTCAGGTTAAGTAGAATCACAACTTTTGAAATATGGACCCGATAAATATTAATTGATTTAATCCCGCAAATTATACAAGTTAATCAATGAGCCAGCATTTTGATAAAGCTAGATAGATATAAATCCCAGCAATTACGTCAGCAGTTTGACAGTTACCATGGGAAACTTGTTCTACAGTAAGATTTCTGTATGGCCCTATTCTTCATCATGCTAATTACATTTGTTTCAGAATAGAAAACGAAATGACGGAAACCATCAATTATCTTTGGGAGTAAGGCTTTGTTTTGGAACTGTTTACAGAAATCTTTCCGGATGTTTCTCTTATTTGGCTATTACCAAACAGTGCTACGCTGCTGACAAATGTCGGTACAGAAAGTCCTTTCTTTCAGTTTTCTTCCTTTAAACAGCAAACTTCTCCACAAAACTATATAAATGATGCAAGAACGAGAAGAGGAATGGCACAATAAACATGCAGTGTGAACTGTGCGAGGTTTTCTTTCACACTGCTAATTTTAAAGATTCGTGATAAAACTTGTCGATCGACTCGAGCTAATCTTCTTCAGGGAAAATGGTCTTCTGTAACCAACGGTAACCAAGTTGGCTTAAGATATAAAATTAAAATTAATGGCATTGCTTACCTGTACGAAAGAAGAGCAAAAAGTCCGTCTTAAAAAGGGTGGAAACGTCTCAAAGAGATAGAGAAGTACTTGTTCGCCATCTTGAGTATTTTAAGCATTTCCCGCCGTTTTCGCGGTTGGCGAGCGGCTGCTAGGAAAACTTGTCCCCATTCCTTCAGCTCATTTCAAACCGAAATGGTAAATATCGATCAGGCACAAAAGGTGAAGGGCGTTCTGTCTTCGTTGATTTAAGGTGACATTTGAGAATTTTTGTCGCTATCGTGCATATATATGCGACCATGCGTCTCTGCAAAAATTGTTATTTGATTTTACAACTTTTATCGCGAATAGTTGTAGTGACTTAGCTTAGCGACGCTCGCTGCTGGTATCATTTCTTATTTTATACTTGCTGTTTATGTCATCTCTAATAAGTTATCCATAAATGCGATAAACGGTGTGTAACGAAGCAAGTGACCATAAAACGAAGGCTTCCCTAACAGTTTTGTGGCTCCCATGTAGACTTGAAGAGGGGCACTGAAAAGAAAGTGCCTCGCCCAAGAGCACAACTCAGAGACATTGCAAGAGCTTCCACACGGATCTCCAGTTCTCTGGAGTTCAGCGCGTAATTCACTATGCCACTGCGTCTCTTACAAATAACTTTCATATATATATATATATATAAACTTGGATAGATATAGGATAATTTGGTTTTATCAACTGAGTTAAATATGTTAATGAGCCACTGTAAAGATTTTATAAAGTTCAACATCATCGACTCAGTTGACAAAACCAAATAATTTTTTAATGCCCCACACCGACGTAGCAACACAGTTTCTGCGGATACTTACCCCCTTCATTCATTTTTCAAATGGAAAACATCTGTCACTGTCTGTTCACTTACCAGTTTCATGATGATGCCTTTGGGAATAGGTAGATTCATTGTTTTGACGGAAACATTTCCTTCTTTGAAATATATTCGAAAAGATGAAAGATTTTTCCTCAGTTGTATTACATATGATGTAGACAAAAAACACGGAACAAGCCAAAATCACAGCTAATGGCAGAGGAAATTTCATCTGGGAATCAGCTGTTTCTGAAAAGGATTGTTAGATGTAAGAGATTGCTCCTGACAGTTGACTGGCACCCAGGATGACGAAAGGGATTATGATAGAAGCTTTGCACACGAGCTTAATAATGCTGCTTACCCGGCCGGGGTCAAACCCCCAGGGGTTACTTGTGTCAATTTTTTATTATGTGTGTGCCGCTGGCCGAGTGAACCCCTACCCCATTATAGTCTATTCTGTTGTCAAATATAGACCCCATCTTAGTTACTCTTAGCAATACAACTTTTAACCGCGAATCTTCCCATTTTTGAGTCCCTACTTACTAAAATTTTATTACTTCCAAAATCCCCAAAATGCGAGACCCCATTCCACTAACTCTATTGAACATTCAACCCCATTATAGTCATGTAAATCCAGTCGTAAAAATGCAAAGCGGCAAATCCCCACTAGCCCACTAAGAAGTACTCCCCGACCCGAGGTTCAAACCAGAACTTCCCCACCCGTAACGTGCTGCACCAGCAACTAGCCCCCTAGGTTATGGCCATTAGCCTGAAAGAATGAATTCAAAAATTAGCACATAGATGAGAGACAGCCCAAGCGTTTGTTGGGAAGGGAAATGTTCCTATTACTAGAAATGGAGCAAATGAAAATGAGCAACTAATAAAGAATGCAACTGGATTTTTGTGACTGGCTAATCTTAAAAGTAAATAAATAAATGAATAAGAAACCGCTAGTTACAGAATATGGCTGGTTCCTGTTCAAACAGTGCGATTTAAATTTCGATTTATCACATAAGAGGGATAGAACTTTGTATAAGCAACTGTTGTCTTTGAAGCACTTCTTCTAAAATGATAAATTGTTATGATCTTTTAAAGGACTTACTTACCTTTCGCTGGAGGGTTTCCTATCAAACAGCGCCGTAATTCCAATATACTCAGAGCTGTGGCGTCGTTACAAACTTCTTATAGGGTCACAGATGATGGCGAGTCTGCAAAATGTATGATGTTTACGTGAAAGTGTTACTATACAAAGGATTAATTAGCGACAGCAAAAGTGATAACTACATTTCTAAGTTAACTGTGATAAAATGGGAAGTGCTTTTTACTGCATATTTGGAGTTGATTACGGATGCAATTTTAAAGATTCTATCGTTAAGTAGTTTTTCAGTCAATCTACTTTTTTCCAGTGAAAAACAGGTAAACACAGGAAAAAAACCCGTATTTTACTGAAAAATTAAATTAGTGGCATGACTGAAAAAGAGAAACAGTGAGGTGAACTGAAGCTGTCGCCTCTTTGTCTTGTCATAATCATTTCCATAGTTACGACTCTTTCACGGAAAAAATTTAATTTATTGCTTCTCACTTAACATTTTTTCCTTCTTTTGTGAACGCGGAACTAGCACCTACTTGCTTATGGGAGTAGTCAGTCGGTTTCCAGACGCTGAGCGGAAAAATAATACAATAATGGCCGCATGACGGATTAAATTTTATCCTTTTGACCTTTTCTGAACTTAAAAGTGTCGACAGAGTCGCTATGGCGTCTATCCTTGAATGGGCCAAGCAGGAAATTGATATATCATACGTGTGTTTTCATTTGACTGAAAATGCTTCAGTACATGAAGGATCAACCATCCACATGTCATTTTAAATCTTTGTCGATTCATTCTACAGAGATCCAGACACTCTCGTTTGATCAGAACTACTTACGCAAATTTGCGATTCTTGGGTTTACTAATGATGAATGAGAGATGCCAAAAATAACACAAGCATCCCTTAGTAAGTAGGAAATGCGTCATAAGCCCCGTGGGTTTTGTTGTAATTGAGTGATATTCTTGAAACAAAATGGCGGAGTGGATATCAGATGAGATAGTGAAAGTGGCCTCGCGGTTTGGGCGTAAGGCTGGAGGATATCAGCGGGCTTCCGGTAGAAATGATTCGAATTCAAATAGAATTAACAAAAGTTTTATAATAACTTCCAAACACAAAGGTCTTCGGAGTATTTACGATTCTTCTTTGATCAAGTTTCAATATGGGACGGTTATGGAAATATCAACTTGTTCTGATCTTCAAATGCTGGTGTTTCTTCTCTGTTGCTGTTGTCAAAGTAAATGTTTCGATGGCACGGGTTTTAAGTGTGACACGTTCTGGTGCGATAGGAGACTCATTTGAGATTGAATTAGAATCGAACGGGTGCTCAAGCTGTCAACAATATGGCGCTATCCAGGTGAATAATGTATCAGCTAATCGTTGTTCTTGTTCTTGCAACGACAAAAAGAAGCGTACGTTTTACACAGAACACACGGGGACGATGAACTGTACAGAAGACAGAGATATTTTGGCAGATCCAAGAGACGGTAAGATTTTTTATTCAATTTTGAAACAATATATTTTTGTGTTTCTAGATGAATACTTACAAATGATATTAATTGTCAAGCCAAGCACCCATTTATTGTTTACTTTTAAGAGCGAAAACCAAGATGAAAGTATTATTTCCTGTGCATTGTATCAAATAAGAAACAGAATTGAGATATTGTTCTTCTCGAATTAAGTTGTGTGAGGGGGCTAGTTTTCTAAAGAAATTAATGAGGCATACTATAAGATTATTTTGTTTCATCATCTGTTTTGATAATGTAAATTTGCCGCCATAAAGAGTTTCTGTGGCTGTAGTTTTGAGTATTAGCCCATCATCAGAGCATTTAACTTAAGATGAAGAGCTGACGCTCAAAATGTCAGCTTCAGAAACTATTTCTGGAGACCAAAAGTTAGTTGTGGTCAGTGTCATGGCTAATTAAGAGAGCTTTGTTAGTCATTAGAAAGAGGAAAGGCTCAGGAAAGAGGGATATTGAAAATCTTGTGGTCTACTATCAAATAAGTGCTAAGAAGACAAAAATAACTTATTGTGAAGTCTTTTTTTTCTGCTTCAAATAAATGAATTGAGGAAAGTGGCTGGTAAAGATACAGAGTTTTGAAAAATATCCTGTTTTTTTTTGTTTCTTTTTGAACTGTCATTGTCCAGGAAGTATTTGTGACTTCTACATTGACCAATCACAGCAGTTAAAGGTTCTTAACCTTCAAGTGAAGGGAGAAGCAAGACTGAAGCCGAATGGTTTCTGCAGCAGACTCAAAATTGCTGGATGGAAATTTTATTTTAATTCTTCATGGACTTCCTTTCCTGCCGGTGATGCCTTCAGGCAAACAAAGAAGCTACGTTCAGCAGAAAATTTCAGTGTAGGTACTTTTCTAAATATATTAATCCCTTACACCTTAACATCAGTAAGCATATTTTCCATACAGTTTTATATAATAAGCTCAGTTATGCACGCATTCTGATTGGTTCTCACCTATGATCTATTGGAGGACAGACGTATAGATGACATCATCATTAAAAATTTTTTTAAATTCTTTATTATATAAAACAAATAGATTCCAAGTTGCAGTGTGTCTGTTCAATAATAGATCACAGAGGACGTCAAAATGTGGTAAGAACATCAATGACACACTCGGTTGCGCCTCATGTGCCACTTTTTTGTTCTTACCACATTTTGATGTCCTCTGTGATCTATTACTGAACAGACGCAGGGCAACTTGGAATCTATTTGTTAAATCCATACAACAATCAAGAGTTTCTTCAGTGGGTGATCATTTCTTTTACTCTCATGACCTTAATTTGTGATTTGGCACTGATATTTTAAGGGGCACTTAGATGCTTGTCACTCTAAGGGGTCAGAGAGTCAATATTAATAATATACTTATTTGCAAATTACCATCTCTCCCACCCCACCACCCAGCTGGTTCCTATTTATGATCTTGGATGGATCTCTCTATTGGGAGGCCAGCTTAAAATGCACAAGTTGTAATAGTTGCATCTGATATGTAGAGATTATTCTATGGAAAATGGAAGAATTTGGTGTTAGATCAAGATAATACCTTTAACCCAATAAGTTTGAGTATTCTCATTACCTTTTTGCTGGATTATGTATGAATATGGTAGGGAGAAGTTAGATGTTAATCACTTTCAAGAGTTATTTGAGGCATATGCCATGGCTCTGGTGAACAATGTACTATTTATACACCTGGAAACAAATACCTGCATGATGAATGATGTTATAAGTCTAATTTGATTTTAATTTTTCAATTATAATATTTCAAACTAAAACTTTTAATTAATTTTTGTTTCAGTGGAATGGAAACCCCAATTCCTTTTACAGAGGACTTCTGATAAAAGTTATGTTTAATTGTACTTACAACAAGCAGACAGAAACTCGCTGCCTCATGTTCAAAGCTGAAGGAACACATCAATGTTAGTTTCTCGATTTTTTTTTTCTTTTTTTTTGAAGTACTTTGAGACTTGTCTTTCAAATTTTTAGCCTCATTGTGAGGTAGGTGCCAGTTCAGCTGATATCAGTGATAATCAATTGATGATAACATAAAATGACAAGGCAAAAATTTGTCAAACAGTGTTATTAAAAACCTGTGTGTGTTTCAAAGATGCAGTACTTTATAATGCTAAGTTTCAAGGAAACATATCTGTGTAAAAACTGTGTGCCCATATGGATGTTTTCTAAGGTTGGAAATTGGGAAAACAAAAAATTACAGGTCTGAGATATGTTTTTACACTTCTGTGGGGTAAGATTCCTTTAGTGTATACATACCATGTACATTTATAAGGTACTCAGTGACCCAGGCATTTTTCTCTCAAGGTAAAATAGCAAAAGGGTGCTTTTTACAGGAGGAAGGTTGCTCATAAAATGAGTTTACATTAAAAGGATACTTAGTCAAGTTCATTGTCCTCTTTGTAATGGTATTTGACAATGTTTCATGAAAAACAACTGTTTGATGTTTCAAGGTGAACTAAGCTGCAGACAGCCTGTTAGGACAGAGTGCAGACTATATAAATTGTCCAAAATACCAAACTTTTTAGTGCTAGATGTACTTAAGACCTTACCTAAGGCTTAAACCACCTTTCTATTAAGCATTGTAGTCATTACCTGCTGAATGCAGCACTTACATTTAGTCTTTGTCACCACTAATTGTTTCCCTTCTAAATTCAGATTTTAGCATTTCTACAAGCACACCACCCATCTCTAAGCCCACATATACTTCAAGAGAGGAGAGCTTTGTTCAGGTATGGTATAAATACAAATATTTAAACCATCTGAATGTGAATTTTCCTTTAAATTGATGTAAATACCATGACAATCTTTATTATTTCTATGGAGACACTTGCCAAGTGATACATATGCAAATTCATTTTACTTGATATTTGAGTTGATACTGATCACTAAGGTTGAGGAAAAGCAAAAAATATCATGTTCATCCCTAATTTTTATAGAGAGATAAATTATTTCACAAGGAATGGTCCCTATCTGTAGTAGGTGGAAGATCATAACTCAGGTTTTTCCAACTGGGCTGACTAAGATTATATTGATTTGGGGCTATTGGTTATTTTTCGCTTGTCGCAGTGCCTCCTTCCACCCCCAGGAGTACTTGGGTTGCTGGCATGCCATTGTCAATCAAAACCTGGTGAGATATTTGGAACCTCCCTTTGTTAGACTGGCATTCCATTGTGAAGAGGTTTCTGTAGCAACTTTTTTACTTCTCAGGCCTCCCCATTGCATTTTCCAGTAACCACATTACCCCCAACCTACAGGAAGTGGTCAGTCATTGTACACTTGGCCCTGACAGCTATGTTTTAATTTTTCTTGTAATCATTTCATTCTTTAAACAGATGTCAAATGAAGAAAATACAGAGACCAACAATTCATTGCCGACTGGTGAGTACTCAAATGCCGATGGCAAGAAGATCTGGATTGCTGTTTCCTTGGGTCTGTCTGGTCTTGTTTTCATTGCCATCATTGTTGTTGTTGTATTTCTGGTGTTTAAGTGTCGAAGGAATTGCAAGCAGGAAAGAACAGGTGTGTACATTTGGCTTTTGTTTGATTTACTGCGATGGCAATATTATGAATGCAAATAGAGGTTTGTGTTGACAGTCTTTAATTTCGTTCAAGAAGATATATACACATTTTTATGATCTCAGACTGAAAATACAATCAACATTTGCATGGATGGTTTTTGTGCAAGAAATTATGCTAGTTCTTAATGCTGATACTTTCAACATATGTTGTAGCAGTAGTGTATGTATAGTGGTAGGGGGAAGGGGTTGGTGGTTGGTTGTCGGGGTGGTGTTAGTGGTAGTAGTAGTAAACTGTATTTGATTGTCATTTGTTCTATTAACACAGTGGTTGGCGATGCCACTTTAACAGCACCTTGTGTGCCACTTTATTGTTCGTAGCACATAGGACACCATCTTTATTCTAGTGCTAAACAGAAGTACAGCAACATGAACTCAATTTGTGAATTAGACATGATTCCTTATGTTAACTGGAAAGTCATTATTATCTTTCAGAATCCCGTCGTCATCCTTCAGAGCAGCCCTCTGAGTCAGCAGTTTGTTCTCCTTTGCATGACTATGAGTATGTGCATTATCCATGTCTAGTGAATGGTTCAAGGAGTCCACAGAAAACTACGAGTAAGTAACAGCAATGGTCTTATCTTGTCTCAGTTTTTTCCCTTTTTCCCCAAAACGGGTTACGTTACGAAACCAAACAACGGCTGCCTAGAAAACTATTGCATTAGTCTAGGCTGTGAATGGGCTCCTGTAGAAGTAGAGACTGGCTTCACGTGGGGCGGCCGGTGGGGAAAGGGGAGCGGTGAAACTCTTTCACATCCTTCAGACTGGGGTGTTGGCCATAACAGGGTGTAGCTTAGGGGTACTTGTAGAGCAGAGTTCATCAGTATTTAACGTGGTAATTTTTTTTTACCCAATTAAAACCTTATTATTGACCCAGATCATATCTACTCCTCCAGAAAATCCCTTGTATGAAAGAGGTGAAGATAATAAGCTGATCATCTGGACACCAGGTCACAGTGGAACACTCACTCGATCTTCTGAGACTGCAGCACCACGCCTCCCTTATCAGCGACTTCTGACACGAACATCCTCATCAACCCCTGACAGTGCCACAGGAGTTAGGCCAGTCAGTTCCCCTGTGATGGAAACTTACTTTCCTTATCAGAAGCTGATCAGGGCTACAACCTCCTTGCCGAGGACAGCAGGCTCATCATCGTCTTACCCTGACTGTGCTAACGTGGTCAGCCCTGCCAAATTTGCTCAAGTGGAGGAGGAGGTATTTCCTTACCAGGAGCTGTTCAAGTCGACACCGTCACTAAAGGGGGAAGCACCTTGGCTCGAGTGTGGTCAAAAACGGGTGTCTGAGGCGAAGTCAAATGACGAAGGAGTGTCTGTTGAGCCATATCAGTGTCTGTCTTTGCAGAGAAATCAACCGGTAAGGTGTTCACGCGATCAAACCCAAATTCTCAGAACTGTAAATCTATGAAATTGTTGTCATTCTAGTTGAGAGAACTTGCATAACATAAAAGTTGCGATAAGTGTTCTGGTTTACACAAAGGCTTCAATGAAAGCCAGTTACTGACGGCCTACCGCAGCGCACAAGACCACTAACCGCCGTCTGTTTAGCTTCTGAGCAAGCTCTCTTGTTTGGATTTCGCTTTGCGGCCCCTTTTCGGGCATAGCTGCCGATTACGCCATTGACAGCTGCTTATGGAAAATGTCATTCCGTACATATTCCTCGCGTTATTGAGTGCTATTGTTCAAAAAGTGTACAAAATATAGAGGGATTAGATAAATGTTGTTTGATGATGAGTCATTGCAGTAGAAATATGATTATGCATTGTAACTGTCTGGGTGAGGAACAGAATTCCTTTCCAAGGCTACTCCCACCAAAAAAATTCCTTCTACATATTCTACCTAGCTCTATTCCTTTGACCCTTTAGACCCTAAGAGTGACCAGAATCTAAAATCTCCTTACAGTAATACTGATGAATTATTCATTGAGGTCATGAGAATAACGGAAATGATCACCAACCTTAGAAGCGCCTGATTGTAGAACAAATTCTCTTAATCAGTATCGATGGAAATGTAAAGGGAAGGGTATGGAAAATATGGATGTTGATGTTGGGTTGTAAAGGGTTCAAAGGACCGTCTGTCTTTTGCTAACATAGCCTCAGTCTTTTCTCAACCTTTAGAGGTGATCTAAAGGGGCTTCTTGATCCTCGTGGTTTGGCCGTCATAAAACTGGTCAAGTGCATTGTTCAATACAGAACAAATGATCGAAGCCTAAATACATTGCGAAGCTAATCACTTCGGTATCCATTTACGATCGTCTTCTGCTTTTTTTCCGTAGTACCCTCTAGACGAATTTGACGGATATGCTAGAGTTGAGGATGTGAATCCTCAAACGGAGGACTTTGAGTACGATTATGCTCGTGTGGAGATCGATCCGGTTGAACTGCGCAATCTTTTCCGAATTTCACATAGCGATGATGCTATCGACAATATTCCGAACACTTGCATGGAAATAACGATTGGCGATCTGAGTAACACCGCATCCACTACAAAAATTCTTGTCAGCGAATCGTCGTCTTCTCAGTCATTCAAGGGTGATCATGAAACTTTTACGTGTGAGGATGTCGAAGTAAGAAAGAATGACTGTTCCGTGCACGGGAATGAGGGTCTGAAACCGCAGGTTTTGCGTCCAGCAGCATCTTATGAGGATTTGTCGGGGCGCCGCGTTGAGGAATATGAAGAAATGGGAAAGAGAAGGAGTGTGTTGATGGTCGAGGATCATGAACCAGTTGAGATTGAAGAAGACAACGGCCACGAATACTATGTGCTTGAACCTGTGGTTGAGTGCGACGAAGGTAAATGATCTTTTTCGTTTGGTTGATGGTCAATTCCGAAAAGCTGACGTTTCGAGTGTTAACGCTCGAAACGTCAGCTTTTTGTAATTCGCTACGCGAGTTCATGAACTTTATCAGTTTACTGCTGATAACCAGTTTACTGTTCTACTTGCCTGTACACGTAGCACAGCAGTGGTATATAAACAACCTCGTTCCCTTTTCTTTTGGTGTGTTCCTTATTGATACGGTTTCTTTGCCTGTTTGCTTGTTTGTTTCCCTTTGGCCAAGACGGAACAATAAAGCTAACTTTCCTGAACAAGAAAATTCTTAGACAGAACTCACAAGGTGGGTTTTGAGCCTGGAGACTTGGCAAATGCAATCCTCTCAGGGATCAAACAAATTTGCCAGTTTAAGGGACAAGAAAAAGTTGAGTTCCCCCCCCCCCCCATATCCCTAACTTCCCAATCGCTCCGCTGACTTATAAGGGGTGAGAAAACCATTAAAAGCGTTTTTCAGTGTAATCCTGGCATTTGACATTTGCAGCTGGTTTGCTTTCCTTTTATAGGTGAAACGGATGATGTAAATTAGATGCTGAAGGAAAGAAGGAACGGTTTGAAATAACTCCACAACCGTCATTACCTCTATTAGTTTTTTTTCTTTAGCCTATGGCATACGATTATGTGTACAAAATGATATTTCAGCGATATAGATGTGTCAATACATTAATTTCTAATTTCATATTAAGGAAAAAATTAGTGAAATGTAGACAGATTCCAAAAAAGCTCCTTAGCCACATCCCAATAGAGTATTTATTGAATTTGTTTTGACTTCATTGTGCATTTGTTAATTCCATTTGTATAAAGTTTATTTTGCTTTCATTAAACATTGGTCTGTCACTTGGTAGTAATTTTCATGAGTCTCTGTGGATAAAAAATTGCTTCTTCAAGTGGTTACAAGCGGACCTCAGTTTGAACTTTACATTCTCAACTTCGTCACGGACATCCAATGTAGGGCGAAATTGCGTCATACACCCGCACAATTAAGATGGAGTGGAACCTGGAATCGTAAAAATTGTTAGCCCTCTGGTTCCCCAGGATATCTGCTCTTAGTGATCACCTCACCATTTCAGCGAGTCACGTGAGTATGATTTGACTCCTCCTTTGGTACGAACTCCTCTCGATGCCCGCTGCCCTCGCTCGCCGGGTCTTGCGGCTTCGCCCCTTGTGCCTCAATGTCTGTTGGAAATTCTGCTGTTAGAGTGCTTGCAAGCTAATAGGATGATGAGTTTGCATTATATAGAGAACAGGAGGAGAGAAAAGTCAAACGACAATCATTGTGAAAAGTTTTGGGAAGATAAGCATTGTTTAACCTTCTTTCTCTTTTCTCCCCTCCCGCCCGGTGCAGTTTTTCAATACTGGTCTTAACGAGCGTGTCTTTCATGTCTCACGTTCCGACTACGAAAAAAGCCAAAGGTGTTGTGGAAATAAGCTCTCTTTCACTTTGTTTCTCCTCTCTCTCTCTCTCTACATCCCTGGTGCAATTATTCGGCAATCCTTAACTTTCTGAGGGTGTGTATTATCTTTCACGCTCCAACATTGATGAGTGGCGGGTATTCTTAGGACAAAAAATTTTGAAATATTTCTTTTCAATATCGAGAGAAAATGCTCGGAATTTAGTACTAGTACTTGTGAGTTTCGCAATCCTCTTGTCTCTTTTCTCCTAAGTAACAGGCTAAAATATTAGCCTTCTGTGAAATGTTCTTTTCAGTTAATCCTCTTTGCGGTCTCAGCTGCAGTGAGCTGTGTTGGAAACAGGTTAAAAGAACAGACAAAGTTATTAACCGGAAGGTGTTAATTAGAGATGAAACTAAGTTTTTCTGTCTCATTTACAAGGAAAAGTATGTTAATAAATAGGGAAAAGAACTAATTGGATCTTGAGAGATACCCATTTCTCTTGATTATTTTACAAGTAAATATTTTGCAGGCAGATAGTAAAATCAATAAGAACATCCAATATTGTTTTACACGAAGGTTCCATGGGGTATAGTAAACAACATTCAAGGCCAATATTCGCGTGATGGTTTGTTTATTTTGGTAATAGTTATTGACAGTTACTTCTTATCGGAGGTGTTAAATGCGTTTGGAGATCGTCTACTTGTACCTCAATCTACTTTGTGTTTCCGTCCAATATCAGCTGGACATGTCAACGATGTCAACGAAAACAAATGCCTCTGACTGGCTAAAAGACACTCTCTACTCAATTTTAGTGTAGTGTGAAAGTGACATGACCATTCCTGAAGTGATTCAATCCTTTGTATTAAACAAGTGTCAAAGGTGAAGATGCTAAGACATGGAAATTACATTTAAGTAAACCTCTTTTCACGTGAAAAGTTCAGCACTTTTGTAGTAAGAGTTTGTAAAGTTCCAAAATCACCGTTTGCGTTCCTCATTTTCTCGTGACGAGACCTGTACAGAGCTGCTATGCGGTGCCGATTATTTGAAAACGACAAAAAACCAGGTAGTTCGTCCGCTGAATGATTTTCATTGGGTTTTATTCTGCTAATGTGTGTCTAATTACACATAAGGGACACTTTTCCTCCCATGATTACGTAACTTTGAGAACGTACTTCTGAGCCAAAACGAAAAGTCCAAAATTGTTTTGTTCAGCGCGCAATGCGTGTGTTATGATTTCCTCATTTTCACATATTCACCTGAGTAACCTGTTACTTTGAGAATTGGAAAAGCGTGTTGGATTTAACGAAAACAATAACAACGGGTTCAGTACTGAAGGTTTGATATTGCGGTTTTACGTGCGCTCCTTTGATACTAAATCAATATCCTATGGCAAAAAACACTCGTCTCCCTTTTAACGCCCGAAAGTTTAAGAGGCTGCCAAGTCAAAACTGTGGTATGATTTCCGCTCTATTTTCGTCGCGTGAAAGTGAAAAATAACAAAAAGTCTTTCATTGTGGGCGTCATAGAAGGGAAAGCAAGTGAGCGGTTATATGAATTACGGAAGTGGTTATTTTAACTTGGAAGGAAGGGGAGGGTAACTTCTCTCCTTCCTCTCCCCTATCCCTCACCCCTTGATAAAAATTGTTTTACAGACTTGAGAATGGCGAGGTTGCGTCTGCACATTTCATGAAACCACGTGCGTTCACGAAATTGCGTCCACACGAGTTTGATGACAAAATTATTACCAAGTAGTTAGAGAGATTATAGTATACCGTGCATATTATAGTATACCGTGCAACGAAATTTTACAAATACCAAGCAAGATAGGAAGTCAGTAATGATTATTGAACCTGAGGGGGATACCCGGTTTTTGTATAATTGGTAAAGTTTACTTGTTATCCGAAGACAACAAGAAAACAGTTGCCATTTTAAAGCTCTGTGCTCTAGGGCCATATTATAATCACCCCTTGCCATTCTCGCGCGGATTTGGGTAGACTTACACGGGGTGAACACATCAATAAACGAGATAAAACTTGACCAAAGACAAAGTGTGCCTCTGATAAGCTGATCACTTAAAAGAGGTTTTAAATTGTTGTAATAATTTACACGTATTCATTAATTCTGGTGCCTTCTTCACTTGAAACTCTTAAAAAATTATCTGCGTTGTGATCTTATCAGACAATGAAACTCTTAAAAAGATTAGTTTAGGCACCACATCTGAATGTGTGCGAACTTTCATGTTATGTTTTAGCTAAATTTTTTTTACGTGATGTCTCCGTCGAAAAGATTTGTTCAACCTGGTCATGAAATGAAAGACTTTGTTAAAAGTTTCGCCTTTCTTGGTCTCGACATTCTCAAATTTATTGTATACGAATTGGAGCGTGTGATATAGGAGAACGTTATTAGTGCCGCGATGTCTGTTTGGCTCAACCACTTACACGAGAACATTAGCCAACGAGAATAGCTGATCGATTCGTGAATAGCCAACATCCTTATCAACGATTATATCAGCAAAAAATGATCTCTTAGTAGGTTTTGTAATGTCACGGAAAGTTTAGAGTCCTAGTTCGTAGACTCAGTTTCACAAAACCATAGAAATCATTCGAAAACGAACCTGAAATTTTTTGATTATTTTGGATTTTGAAGGCTTCTTTTTCTCATGGCATTGGTATTCATAATGTTGATATTTTGATCGTGTAACATACCGTCTTAGGATTAAAGTACAGAAATACCGTATTATTGGTTCCATTTTGAAAATATTTTTATCGCTATCTCGAAACTGTTAGCTTCACGCGGCTTGGATTGACTAAAGACTTGGAAAACTGATAATTTTTCTGTCACTGGACAAAACACTGAACCCAATTTACGGCGATAGCACTCTCGTTAAAGAAATGAATTTTCTATGCTGTGCTATAAACGCGCACATGTTAATTAACAATATTATGGGCATATTTATGTGACTCTAGAACTACTTTCAACGAATGCGAACATTTAGCAAAAAAAAAAAAAAAGGAATAGATCACGACACAGGAAGGAGTTAGATATTTGTATTTTCGGCGAATATGATGGAATATGAGGATTTTTCCTGTGAGGTATGTTTCAATATACATTCATTTTTCTTTATTACTTATTTTAACGAACATTTGGCGTAAAAAAATAAAGAGCAATCACGATGTGGTATGGATTTAAAGGTCTTTGTTATCGGCGAAAATCACGATATATATATATATGTATTTTTCGACTGCTATCAAACAAAATTGCAATTCCCGTCAGTAGTAAACAAAGACCTACTTGGTCTGTAAAAATTTTTGAAAAAAGTGTCTGATGGAAAAAACATAACATTTTTTTCTTTTGGGGTTTTTCAGACTGGACCGTCTACAACAGTCAGCATTTCAATCATTTTGAACTGACAGGCCAATAGAGCCTTCGCATCGATTCATCAGTTGAAAGGTGTGAACACAAAAACAAAAGATTTTACACGATCAAGGAGCTCCCAACACAAAGCTACAACACCGCTATGTTTCTATCTAAGTTTTACCAGCTATTCTGACCTATCTGCCCTTTCAACTATGACCATCTTTTTTCTCGAAAACTGCGACCACAGCCCATCATAAATCAACGGAAAAAATGGAATTTGGCAGAAAAATGGACTTTTGACTTCGTTTGAGAGGTAGTATCAGCTTTAATTGCTCTACCGCAGAACAAACAGAATTATCGCTCTTAGGTTTTTTAACCTAATTATTGTTGCTTAATCAAGTCTATATGTAATTTTATTCCTTTGCCGGTGTAATTAAAGAAAATTAAAGTTTACTTAGTAATGATTTAGAATATCTGTAATTGTTTCATGACAGTGTATTAAAATGAAGTAATGAGTCAATATAAAAGGACCATTGAAACAAGAAGGCTGAAGTGATCAAGCAAGCTATTTTTAAACACGTTCGGCTGAAAGTGTCCCAATTTAACAAAACCCTTCTTAAGCCACCCTCCATTTCGACCACTCAAGCGCACTCCTTTTGCTTGTCTTACTTCAAAAAAGAAAGAATACTTGTTGGTGCTGTCGGCAATTGATAGTGGTAAATATTTTGCTTTGAAATACAACACGTTCAGTATTGGAGGAAATAAAAACAAACTCACAGATTCTTTCCCAATTCTTCCTTCGCTATCATCACTGAAGCACTCTACTTTCACACGTACGCAATTATAGGGAAAGGGCTTCGTGGATCACAGCTCACTTTGGAATAAAAATGTCTGCAAAAAAACCCAGATTATCACAGAATTAAAAGAAATCATGCGCACAACATGCACTTGAACAATATTACAGCAGATATAGGTTGAATAATTTCCCTTCGTATAGGACAGCTGTATCTATGCAACTTGCAAAACAACATTAGCAAAGCTTCATTTCTGCGATATTGGTGGCTCTCTGAGTTAGAGAAAAGTATTGTTACGTGATAATCATTTTAATGTGTATTGTGCATTGCGAATGATACGTACGCAGTACAGAAGAGAAATTTGTAGATGGTGGGGTTACGAACGTTTATCGTTCATGAAGAAACGAAACTGACGTCTCCCGGGCATTGATGAGTTTAATCCGAGTTGTTGTTTCTGTGAAAACAAGGAAAATTTCAGCGAGAATAACAGTTATCAATACTGCGCATATATTGACCACATTGGATTACGAGTCGCTTCACACGAGCTGCTTTCGTTGAAAAACGACATCGAAGGAAAATGAAGAACTGTGCGTTTAACAATACCAATTCCAGCATCATCTTCACGCTTTCATTGGTGATTTCAACATTAGCTGGTTTTTTCTTTAGCAAAGGGTTGGCGTTCAGCGTTGTTCGCTCTATTAAGCGAAACGGAATGGGTGACGTTGATTCATTTTCCAATCCCATCTCAACGTGCAGTCCTCTGGGATGTTTACAAGTTTTGGGAAATGCAGGCTGTAAACCTGGAGATTGCTGTATTTGTAAATGTAGCCTCAGATTTCCGAATTACATCGTCCATAGTGGAACTTGTGTAGAGAATGAACGAGTGGACCCTGGTAAGACTCTATTTCCTATGATTTTAAAGCGGTCATGAGCCTAACGGGAGCAGAGATATTGAGGTGTCTAGCGCTCGCCTTCCCCTCTGTTGTATGGTTTAACTCATGGCCCCTGCCAAATTTGCTATTAGTTCAGTCCTTAATTCGAGGGTTTCTTTAGGGAAGTTGTGGTTTTCCGCCTGCCACAAATACTGACGGGCCAAATTCCGATTCAACCTGAAAAGAGTGACCACACCACGTCGTAAATCTACTACTTCTAAAATTCAATTTGTTAATTTCTTTACAATTCATTACGTTTCAAACCGTCGGTGTATTCGCCTTCACTCGCCTTCACTAGAAGTCTTGATAGGTTTTTCCTTGATATCTATTCCCTTTTTGGGTGTTTGGAACACACCTTTCTAAAGAATTGCATACACAGATATGACACAATATCTGTAAGTTCCACTGATACAGTAACATCTAATTATGACAGTGTAGTGATGTTATAAAGCTTAAATCTGTTTACTCCTCTCAAATACGCTGGAAAACATACTTTTCCAGAGGATATATAACTTCTTACTTCCATGTCTGGGTATTACCGTTCCTACAACAAATCGTGTTGCAAAAAGAGAAAAATAGGAAAGTTGCTCTCAGAAGCTAACGCCATACTGAATATTACGATTAGCGGGGTATGCAATTTTGAGCGCGCGCTCTTCGTGAAAAACAACGATTTGTTTGACGGGTATAAACGCACAAAACATTCACCGCTTTTTTGCGGTTTCGATTTACTTTCCGACGTTCAACTGTTCAAGTTTAGAATATAACGTGTTTTCTGGAGTACTCCAAGTTAGTACACGTGAAGGTTTGATAATTATTTTTTTTTCATTGTTTTTTTTTTTCATTTTCTTTTCAACCAAACTTTTTTTCTGACACTGACTTGTTTTATACGTGACGTTGTCAGTGCGTCGCCCACTATCAATCACAAGACAAACAAAATCATCGAAAAACACGTCGTTATCATATAGCTGGATTAAAGTAAGAGACGAACCACGTATAAAAGCAACATAAAAGAGTTTAAGAAGTCACTAAAGTGTGGCAAGGTGTTGCCATAAAAAACAACTTTCTTTTACCCAATGGATTTCACTAGTAGCTCGATGCGCTAACAGTTTCTGACGGTGCAACATTTTCCCTTCGTCTTCATATGTGAATGTAGTGTTGGGTTCAAAGTAAAACGTGACTAATTGAGGTTCCCTTGTTAAGACGAACGTAGACATTGCTGATTTCCTTTTTTTCTCTCTCTTGGGACTGCAAAGAAATTTACAAAGTTTTAAAACCCACATATTGCGCTATTGTTTGGCTCATTAGGTCTTTTGCTCCGCTCATTTCTCGTTATTGTCACCGTCGTGGTTTTCTTAGAGTCCTTAACGTATGTTCAGCTGCCAATCTAAAAACCGAAGACATCGTTAATGAGCGGAAGGATAACATCGTTTTACTGTGTTTTGCAAAATTTGCTGCACTTTTGTTGCAAATCCTCTGTAATTGTCGTGTTTTTTTTAATCAAAAATGAAATTAAATTGGATGATGTTAGACATTTAGAGCAGAAAGTAGGAAAAGTAGAGAATGAAACTCGAGACAGCAACAACTCAACAAAAAGAGAAAGATGTTTTTTCGTCTTGTCACGAGCGTGGGACAAAGAAAACATTTCTGAGTCCCCACGAGGAATCGAACCTCAGAGCTTCGGATTCCGTGCTCCGATGCTCTAACCACTGAGCCACAGACTCCACGGTGAGCGAAAGTCCCCTCATGGGGACTCAAAATTTTTTCTTGTCCCACGCTCGAGACAAGACGAAAAAACATCTTTCTCTATTTCTTTACCGAGCTCAAAACTTACCATCTCTCTTATTTCTATCGACTTAACAAATGTGAACAGTTTCAGTTTTTGCCTGGTTGAAAAAAAAACTAGATAATTCTTAGGTTGTTCCATAAGGAATTCCATCGCGTGGCTGTGATCCAGCGTCTTACATTGATGTAACGCTCTGTTAGCCAGAAATCTTGGCAAACAGTTGTTTTGGACTGTCTTTATCTTTGTTATGACTATGACTTCAAGCCGTTTAGATTCGGAGTGGTTAAGGGTAAAATCCGAGACTTTCCAGACACGAGACTACTATTTAACTTTTGCATCGTTACTTTAATCATTTAAGCGAGACCCTTGCCTGAAAGCAAAAATCCCAGACTGTGAAAAATCCCATTACTCTCCCTTCAAGGTACCGTTAACCTTTAAAAATAGTCAAGGCATTTTAACTTGAAATGTCAGGAGCTTTAAAAAAAAAAAAAAAAACTCTGGAGGAAGCCAAAAACGAAAATATGAACTAAGGACTTGTTTTGTCACTCTTTTTTCTAAATCAAGTGTGCGAGCTGACCACTATACCAACAGAAAGACTGATGCCTGTGAAGGACTTTAGTAGGGCAGGAATAATTACCTTTGAAGTTGAGATTGATCGGCCACTCCAGTGTCCTGGTATTGAACTCAGACATTTGTATTATCAACTGAATACGGCACAATGGATTAATAAAGGACCGAACTCAGTCTTTCGACTAACGCGTGGCAGGAATGGTAACAGGTGGAACTTACTGGTAAATTGAGAAATTTTACTTCCTTATTCGCCTTATATTGTAATTAGAATTCCCCTGCTTCTTACAGGATGCAAACAAATGTTCTACTTGTTTCACTGAATGGTAACACGCATACCAGCACACTATTATGACAGGCCTACATAAAATACAGCAAAAACCCGTAAAAAGTAAGAACCTAAATTTTATGAACCTGTTAGGCTAAATTGTCCCAGTTAGGCACCCTTCAAAAAAGAATTATTCTGGGACAAAATCTCACAACAGGTTCCTATTCTGCACAAAACTCAGAAAATGTAAATTATGAGCATCATGGTAGGGTTACTTTCGTTGACTTTGGCTTCTGCGTTTCAGGGCAAAATGTGTGAATGAACCAATATAAAAGCCACACCCATGAATATAATTTTTTTTTAAACAAAAAATTAATTACTTGATTAAAGACCTTGGTAGCCTAATTTTCACAGTAAACAACAATGATATAAGAACCTATGGAGATTAACTTGAAAAAAATATGGTTCGTATACGTGGGTTTTTACTGTAGCATCGGGTGTCACGAACAATGAAAATGTTGCATGAAAAAAACTGCGTATAGAAGCTCCCATTTGCAAGAATTTCACGCCCCTGGTTTTATCCACAGACTTGAGTTCAAATCTTAAGCTAGTCTCAAACGGCTAAGAAAACGGTACCTCAATAAAAGAGTGAAAAATTAAGTTATTTAAGTAACTTTCATTTGCATGGTTACCACTTCTGGGTTTCTTAGACAGAATTAAATTCAGAGCGGCCTAGTACAGCATGACAAACAGTACTGGTTGAGAATGATGCTCTGGAGTCCTGATTCGAATGTGACCACAAATGCACCAGGGTATCCCCCACAAGCTGAAGTTTTCATACGTGATACTCGTTTCTTTTAATCATAAATCACCAAGTATGTCTCTTTTTACCTACAGTGGGATAAAGGTCTTGATAGAAAATATTATGGACTGATACTGAGCTTTGATTTCTATTGCGTTGGACAAAATATAACACATGGATGTTTGGTGGTCAAGTCCAAAGGAAACTATAGTCTGGCAGGTATTTACCTAAAGCTTTATAGACTTTAGAAGATCAAAATAAGAGACTGTTTTCTCTTAAAAGCCTTGAAGACCAATCCAAATATCAGAGACATGAGGAGGATCTAGAAATAGCAGCTGTGATGAGTAATAATTACTAAAAACGACTCAATACAGCTAACCAGTAATTATAAACAGTAGCGAGGCAGCCTAAGAGAGAAAGCTTGTAGTATCTATTGGGCTGCCTGTGGCTGCATGTGGCTACTTGTGAGTATTACTGTAGTATTTGTTTTCGGTTAGAAGGTAGACTTGTGTTAGTAAAAACGGCTAAAAGGTATTTTTGTCTTTAACCACCATGATCTCATTGTCAATTCTCCTGTCTAGCAACTACATATTTCCCTGTAAATTATTTAAGATAATTTGGTGTTAGATCAAAAAGAAAAATTCTGCGAAATAGGTATGAGCATTTTCATTACCTGTTTACTGGACAATGTATGGATATTATCGGGAGAAATTACATGTTGATCACTTCTGGAAGTTAAAGGGTTAACGAGGCTAAAAATGTGGATAGATTGGAATTTTTATCGAGCGATCTGTCCATTCGTTCATAAATCCGGCTCTTGACGACGAGAAAAATCTGACTATGGAAAAAAATTAGCAACTGCTTTTATGTAAATAATACATTATTTTATAATCTGGTTCGTACAATGGCTGAGTGAAATGGGTACGGAGAATGTTAGGGAAACCTGACGAAATTCGGGGAAAGGGGGGGGGGGAGGGTGGTATAACCTGTGATGAACTGGCAACTGGTCCAGGAGGGAGTAACAATACTACTTGTCACCTCATACATCCGGGATAAGCTAAGGGCGATATGCCTTCTGGTTCCAAGGCTGACAAAGCTTTTTTTTTTCAAATCCGCATAATCATCGCAACACACTATATTTTTCATAAAAGCATTATCCTCGAGTCAACCTACCACAGATGGACCAAGTCAAGTGGCGGTAACAGAGGGGAAAGTTGAACCAACAGACGGCTCACATGAAGCAAAGGTAAATAGTACTTAATTCATGCAACCTCGTTCCCAGGGCCTTTTCCCTTACTTGGGGGTGGAGTTGGGGGTGGGGCGGGAAAAGGATTACGCCCCATCCCCAGCTAAGGGAAAAGGCCCTGGAAACGAGGTTGTTAATTCACGGTGTCAGTTTGGCGAAATAGGCCGCGCTGGGAGCAGTATGTGTTGCAACCTTTTTCTGTATTTATTTTGAAATTGATAAGAAAAAACTTTGAAAGAACTCACTCACTGGCGCGTGCAATTACGGACTTTGTTTCATTTTTAACTCGTGAATTGCGCGCATGCGCAAGAGCGAGTTATAGATACCATGTGGGGAATGGCATTCGCTCGCTCGCTCGATTGGTCGATTCCTGTAAACTTTTTTTAGATTTTAGGCTTTTGAGTGCATTTGATAGTTTTTAGCGAGCAGTAAACAGAAGAAATGGCGACCTTTGTTGCTAAGAATAGTGGTGGGGTGAAAAAGAAGCCAATGATAATCTTAAAAGAGTTTTTTTTTCGTTTTAGTTTCCACAAGCGGCGCCAGCGACTGGCAGGCATGCAAGGATTCACACTGAAATAACAGAACAACCTTCGTTTTTCATAAAATTGTAATTTACAATCCTTGAACTCGAAAACAATCCGAAGATTCATTGAAAATATTACTTACTGCGAAGCGCTCGAAGTTTACAGATGTTCAAAAGCTTTTTCTGTTATGGCGTGAGATTGAGGACAAAATTGATCATTACGTTTCGTCGCGTGTGTTTTTCCTGTGTGAAGCTACAAAAGATGCCGGCGACTGACGAAATTACAAGTTAACACGAAAATCAGATAACACCTAAACAAACAATTTTAGCTACCGATTTTCAGTGAATTTTTAAAGAACAATTTTCTTTTAAGTTTCAAGACAATTTGAAGATTCAACATACATACAACGTACTAAAATGCGAAAGTTACACACCACAAAATTGATAAATAGGCCTGAAATGAAATTCTATCTTGTTATTGATTATACGTTGCCTAGCACGTGACTTAAATCTACCCAGGCGGAGATCCAAAATGACGGTGGCAGGCTTGGCTTAGTTGTATCACTCAAAACTCGTTCCAGTTTGTCTGATTTGATAAAGAGGGAATCGTTAATGTTTTCATTAAGACAGTATTGCCTTGATTTTCTAATATTTACAACGAAAGACGGTAAATTTCACTTTTCACCCACATTATTTTACTTCCAACCTTTTCTTTTGAACCAGAAACAAAAATGATAGACGTTTAAAACACATGACATCATCCACCTTGTCAAATGTAATAGCATGATTATTTCAATTGTAATGCCTTCTTATCCCAACGTTACTTTGTTTCTTTGCTACATTAGCGAACACTGAACTACCGCTCGTACTCTAGATATGACAATCAACCACAAAATTCCCTAAACCAGATAACATTAAACATCATGTGTCAAAATCATGTGTCAATTCACGAGTTTGCTCACAGAGCACTTTGATTAGTGTTCAATTTCAGGCGCGCGCTCAATGGTTAATCCAAATGATTTAAATTTTAATGACGTAATATATTTTGTCGCCTGTACAAAAAATAAAGTGAATTTGGGATTTTTGAGTCAAACTGTACCTAAATTGTGCCTTCGCCATTTAAAGGTGTTTACTAATCGATTTTACGGGTTATGAGGGCTGTCGGGAAAACCGTCGAAACAGTATGAGTTCCTTTTCCTTTAGTGATAACTACAAGGTTTCCGCTCGTAGGACCGAATGGGAAAACAACCAAATGTAGTCTTGTTTGGTAAATGTTTGGCTGAGTTTGACTCTGTACCGAGCTTGGTCGATCTTTGGCAGAATGAGCAAAACGACTAAATGCACGTCGTATGACAAATCAAAGTAAAAACTTGCAAGCTACAAGAAATGCGTAAAAACGCGATTAACAAATCACGACCAGTTAAGTTTTGCATCTGATTGGTCGACATAGGGAGGCGTGGCTTTCTTGACCAGTCACAAGGCGATATTATGGACCGAAACTTATGGCAATCATCGAGCATTTAATCTAAATAGACAACATTGCTTTTTGATTGAAATTTAATTCCAAAAGTGTATTTTCATTTTTTTCAAGGGAGGTGTTAGTAACGGAGGTCGTGGAGAAAATTTTGCTGGACAAAACAGAGGAGTAGCAATAAAGAATTACAGTGTAATCGTAGTCGGTGTGAGCCTGTCAGTAGTGATGGGAATTGGACTCATTTGTTTTGTAATGCTGAGAAAAGGAGGGCCTTTGTGGTGAGTTCAAATCAACCCTTTCATTTTCTAATATCAAAATATGTCAGTAATCCTCACATTCTTCCATATATTTTTTCAAATAATTTCAGTTTTGAATCTGTCCTATAACTTGCGAACTCGTATCACTCAGATGTAATACAGAGGCTTTTTTGCTGCTTCAATAGTTTTTTTTCTCAATAGTTTGCTTTTTATTCTCAGGTTGAAACTTCAAAGGCGTCCGAAAGGTAAGAAATGTATGATAATTTATGTTAAAAAAATGGTCAAATATATTAAATAATCTAAAGCTAAATCAAGATGTGTGCATTTTGAATAATCGTTGCTTTTTATTTCATCCTTCAATTTTGCCATTACACCGAATAAATGTATTGTGTTTCAACTCACGTGAAAGGTAATTTGCCGCTCGCACAAAACATAGCTACGCCGAAATTCAGCTTTTACAACAGGGTGTATGAAATGAGGTACTATACACAGAAATTATGGAATACCTTGCTATGGACCGGTCGTTATTCATCGCCTGTGGACAGGGAAGCAGAGGATTTTGGTTGCGTCACTAACATTTAACTGACCCCTCCCTAAGGATCTGTAGTATTCAATTGATCTCCCCTTATGAGCAGTTAATTTTCTATTGACTCTTCATCATTTCTGTTAAAGACGACTGCCCCCACCCCCCTCCGTTCCCCCTGTCATACCCCTCCTCCACCCCTCCCTCACCCCTCTCCTCAGACGATAAATATAGACCGGTCCATGATTCAAACCGAGTACTGGCGAAGGAAGAAAGACAGAATATGGTCAATATGCGGTATTCAGGGGATCCCCCTTAGTTGACATTGACTTGTTGATTATTAATCACGTGATCACATGATGTGATTTCACTCAGTTGGAGTTGTTTTGGTGTGTATGTTTTCGTTGCGTTCACAGATCAAACTCTGAAATTCTAGTTTAAACTCGGTCAGATTCATTTTAGCCAGTTGTTGTAAGTCGGAAACGGAATCATTCATTACAGTTAATATTCAAAATCGAACCGTTTTGCTTGAAAAGTTTGATTAACGTTACTGCAACAGTTTGGGTTGCATTTCAGTTCAATGTATTGTTTGTAGAAGAGTCCATTTTATTTTGACATTATGATGATATTTTCTTGGTTCATTTTCAGCACCACCTTATGAGGTAAGCGAATTTGGATTTCCATCATTGTAAGTTAGTTTAATAAGTCATACAAATAACCCGGTCACTCTCCTGGTACGAGTTTTAACAAGGCCTGCTCGCTCCTTACAGAGAAAGTACTACTACCTTTATGCTCGTTAGCCTCGGACACACCCTTCTCACATTAGTCAATTTCTCTTCTCCTAACCTATGAAATACTGGTTACCTTGTTTCCAGGGTCTCTCTTTAAGGCGGTCCAAGAGAGCGTGGAGAAGAGAGACCCTGGAAACGAAGATAGAAGAGCCAGCTAGGTCCTTAGCTTTTCATTTTCACTTCCCTCGAGTAGAATCGTGTATTTTGGAGCAAACCACGTTTCTATTCCAATTCCAGAAGGATTCCGTCGTAAGGGCTTTTCTGGTTGCCTTGTTATCCTTGTTATACATTTTGTGTCCAATTCACGCCCATTTGCCCCTTCTCTTGCAACAATAAGGCTAACAGTGATTTCTTCCCTTCCTAACAGGAGCCAAGAAGACCAGCAGGCATAAGACCGATTCGCACCTCCGTTCGTAAGTCTTTGTTTCTTTGCACTGTGCAAGTGGAATCCTCTTAACTTAGTGAAGACTTCTAAATACCAGTTCCATAAAAGAGAAAACTTTGAGAGGCCATAATAAAACAGTAAGAAACAGTAGGAAAAAGGATGGTTGATTTCTCAAGATGCACAAATCGTGAAATAGCTCATTTACCTTTGTGGAGTTCACTCATTTAAAATGGAGGAATGATATGTTTTTCTCTACAACAGATAACGAGTTTTACGATGCTGGGTTGGTCCTTTCCATCGGTGGGCAAACCGCTGAAGCACCAAAAAGATTATCCAGACTTGGACCTTTGCCCCCCTTGCCTACAAAGGTGTGACAATAAGGAGAAAAATCTCAGAAACTTACAATAATTCGCTATTATCAAAGCCTTAACACATTGACGTGGATTAAAGAATTTGTTCAGAAATTTTTTGGGCAACTTGAATTGACATGTCTTCGCAAGATTGTAGACGAATCGCCAAGATCCTTTCATTCATATGTTTCTCAGGATCCTCGAATCTTTTCAAAAAGGTCAACAAAGATCCTTGTACAGATCTTCGAATATCCTTCAAGACTCTGGAGTCTTTTTCGCCTAGGCAGCGCTATTTCAATAAAAAAAAGACAAAAATGTGGCGTTAACAGTGTCATAAAGACAGAATTCAATTAATTACGAACGGGGAATAAAAACATGAATATAGTGTTAAAACAAACGCGAATGGCTAAGACCAGCTTTCAGTTCAGTTCAAAAATTTCTCCATTAGAAAATATCAAACGTAATTCTTATTATTTGCTCGTTAGGGGGAATCCATTTATGAAGAGCCAGTGGTGATAAGAAATGTTGGTTATCACGGATTAGCGAGGCAAAACAGACCATCTACCGGTGAGTCCTCAAAAGTCTTAATTGCCACCGTACCAAAGTGATTCCTTGCCATAGAGTCGTTCGAAAGAGCTTGCACTTTATCATGTGATCGTTCTGGACAATACGGTGACCTGTCAGTTAGCAGTTGGCTTAAAAAGAAGTTACACGATATTTTAAGTCATTTAATGAACACTTAACAACCTCATTTTGAAGGAAACTTTGTAATATAAGTTCGTTACGATAAAACAACGCAAAATAGGCAACAGTGGACGAACAAGGTGTATGGTTATTTGACCCCTTAACTCCCAAGATCTAATTGTGAATTCCTCCCTAAAGGTATAACACTTTTCCCTATGAACTACTTACGAGAACTTGGTATTAGATCAGCATAACATCTTCTACCTGATAAGTTTAAGTCTTCTCATTACCTGTTTGCTGGATTTTGTATGGATATATCACATTTCATCACCTCTGGGAGTTACAGGGTTAAGGAAAAAGGGATTGTGAATTTTGATCTAAAAATTAACGAAGCCTAACTTTTAATTTACACAAACCACGTGGCAGATTCTTCAATTTTTAACCATTCATATTACTTTTCTTTTCGGTTTAGCGCCAATCAAACGCGCACCAGTCCACACCGTGCCAATTCGCTGCAAGCCAATCCATAGCGAGCCAATCCAAACCGAGGCTATAAGTGATCAGAACCCAGACCCTTTCTATAACATTCTCGAGGAACTCCCGGAAACCGACGATTATGACGACACGACCGAATGCCGTTGCAAGGAGGTGTGAAGAATATACAACAATACTACCTATCTCTATACTATTATAACGGTAGACTGTAAACATGATCAGACCCCCTCAGTTCAGTGTCTACATATTATTTCTAAAAATGCCGTTTAGTTTATCGTCATTCGAATTTATTATCCCAGGGTAAGGCACTTTTCAATCAACATGTCTGTCCTAATTTTTTTTGGTGATTTTTGCAGGTGGACTTTGAAAGCCTCAGAGGTCAACTAAGGACATACTAGATGTATCCTCCAATATGTTTAAAAGCCTAATTTACTAGAAGTAGTTTGGAACCCTCTTTGCCATATAAGGCAAGGTTCTCTAGGCGTCGTCGTTGAAAGAACAGGCATTTCTTTCCTTGTTTTACATGCCCACTTGGCTAAAGACTAATATTTTAATGTTTGGAAACGGGAAACTTGTTAAGAAAACTTTGCAATGATGCAATTGAATTCCTCCAAGCGTAAATGACTTTATCGGGACTCTTGCTCAGGAAACTGATTAAAGAACAATTTACTCAAGTTCTGCTTGAAAAATGAAACAAATTGTGTGTAAGTAGAAATATATTTCTTTTTATGAGAGTGTAGTTGTAATGTAGCGAGTTGCATTAACTGGAAACTTGACGTACTCCTGAAAGAACGTGTACTGATTAATGCGAACACCGATCAGGTGTTTAGTATAAGACTATTAAGGGCATGAACATTTTGTGGCATTTTTCTTTTCATTGCGTATTGGCGATTTTTCTTTTTTAACAAGCAGAACAAAATTAACGAGGAAAGGAATTTTCAAACTTCTTAAGTTTATACAGAGGAATGTTATACTGGACATAATTAATAAATATCTATTTCGAGTGCGTTCAAAGATAACAAATACGAATTGTGGCTTTAATTCCCAAGTGGAATTTTTAACTTGACTGAGGATGATAAATTTGTCCAGCATTAACTTTTAAAGGAGTAATTTTCCTAAGGGAACCTTATTTTTGCGGATTGAGGGCAACATGAAAAATAACTGCAAAAATATTAAGCTTCCAAAATTTTCAGGCTATCATAGGTGCCTGAATCCATCAATACAGAAAATCTTTTGACTGAAGTCAAATTTAAGTTTATCAATTTAAATTTTTATTCATTTCAATATCTTCAACATCCTGAAGTTGGTTACAGTTGAATTATAGCTTACCTCTTTCTCTCCTAAGAGTGTTCATTACGTAAAATCTCCCAACAGTTCTGATACACATTCCAACAGAGAAGTTATGAGAATTGTCACAATAATCAACGGGGATTTCGATACCTTTCAGGATAAAATTCCAATTTTCATGGATGAATGGATACCGTAGCTTGAAAAGAAATGTGGAGTCATCAGTCGGGAGAATTGACTCACGGGGAGTGAAAGACTCATATCCCATCAAGCGAATAAATCATATTTAGTTTAAACAGGTTTAAGAAGATGAAAATCAAAAATAGAACACTGAGAGACTAAATTTTCTATATAATGTTCAAGAAATCACTGCGCTAAAGTTGAAGGCGACAAAGATCAGTCCGAGTAGCTTCTGTCAAGAACACATTTGAAATTGTGTTGGACAAAACAGGTTCAGAAGTCGTTTTAGTTTTGGTGTAGATAGAGTATTAGATTGAAAGTAGAAAAACACGTTTTTATTGAATAATAAAACCCTATCAACAATTTAGCTCTTTCTAATACGTGAAATGATTAGGTATAACAAGAGAATAACAAGTTACTCTCGCTTGAATTGTATATAATTATTTTAATAAATATATATTTACTTTGTAACATTATCCTTACGTTTCCATTTACCAGGAAGGGGGGGTATGGAGATGAAGAGTCTAGTTCGTTTAAGTTAACAGACGCCGCTCGCTGGGGGGAGGGGGGGGGGCGGAAGGAAGGAGAGCGGGTGCGTCCGTCATTTTTGCTCTCTCCTTCGTGACTCTCGCCAAACCGTCGTTTGCCAAAAAAAAGCAGATTAATCGAAAGGTGGATAACGCTATCCACTGGATAAATCTCCAACCGATGGATAGCGAGCCGCTTGGATAGCGAGCCCTGATCGTTAATCTTCCTTCCGTTGCATTTACAAGATGTGGTCATTTTGGGACGAGTGTTGAAGTTTCATTTTTAAAATTATATATTGAGGCAAAACGACAAAAGAATGTTACGGTAACCTAATATCTACTTTAACTAATTTGTCGTTTCTCAAGACTTAATGAAAATTTACATTTCGACAAAATTACCTCGGTTTAATTCGAGAACCGTAATTTTGACTAACAGCTTTATTAAATTGTAATATGACTTTACTGAACAGTGACTATGTCAAGATTGTCGATAAATTTCCAGCTGCACTGACAATGAGCCGAGCGAATCAAACATGAAGTATTTTTGACACCTTGGCTTTGTGACACGTGACTCAGAGCTTCTTTTCGACAAATACCCTGAGCGTGGTCATGATAATGATGTCAATTACACGTACATACTTTCAACAAAATTGTGGTTTGTAGGCAACTATTCGCAAAACTAAGAACACCCACATGTCATACATATTGACCTTGAAATATTGTTAGAATCTATTTTTATCGTTTGCGATAACTCTTTACGCCTTATTTACTTTCATTTTGCTATTTGCCGGCAAGTAATAGGCCATTTCCGTCATATTAATTTTAACGTGACTCCGAGGCTTGGGGGAATAAAACCTCGATGTGATTTTCTTTGTTTTATTCTCTAAAGCCTCGGAGCCAAGTTTGAATTTTAATTCAGAGAAAACGGCCTAAGGGATGCGCCTTTAAAAGTCATTAACTTAAATAATGATATTTATTTAAGCATCAGAGACAAAAAGAAATAAATTCACATGAGCATGGTTCGATCGCTACGTCGCAACTCTCAAGACACTTTTATTTTTGTTAACCAAGAAGTTACCATTAGAAAAACTGACTCAAGGTTTGGGAAAGATAATTATTTTCCTCTATCGACATTTATGTTCTGCGGCTCTCGGAATATTCCGGGCGCACGTGTTCGTCCATGTGGAGGGGTCCTGAAATATTCTGGGTTTCCGAACGTCATCGTTTTATTGGCGGATAAGTTCGGAATATGTCGGGCTTGTGTAGTTTTACGGTCATGGGCCTACCCAAGGGACATAAATTAAGCATCCGACAGAGTTCCGAAGATCCGAGTAGAATAAAAGAATTAATTAGCATGAATATATTTTGTTGCGCGGTAACACTGATAAACAAAGATGGCGGCCAACATTGTCTTTGTTGATGAAGGAACTGTCGGTGAAGTTGTCGGTGGAGAGGATAGCGATTTTGATGAAAACACGGATAATTATGAAAGCAGCGAAGAAGAAGGTGACAGAAGAGAAGAAGACAGTGATGACGAGGAGGAGAGCGAAGAAGAATCCGAAGAAGACAACTGGGTCCTTGGTGATCGTATCCCGCGAAGGCTTGACTTCACAGCTGATCGAGGGTTCAATGTGAAGCTTCCTAACAATCCATCATTCTCTAACTACTTTCATCTCCTCTTCCCTGAAAACCTATTCGATGAGATTGTATCTCAAACATATAAATATGCAACGGAAACAATTGCATCTCTACAGCGAAGAGATCGTTTACCTCAGCACTCGAGGTTTAGAAATTGGCTTGAGGGTGGTGTGACATCTGGTGAGATGAAAGCTTTTCTTGCCATGATAATTGCAATGGGCCTGGTGTAAACCAAGAACCACCCAGCACTAAAGGCAAAACATATGACTTAGTCATGAGGCTCATGCAACCTTATTTGAATGTGGGTAGATGTTTGTATGTTGACAACTACTACACATCACCTACTTTATTTGCTGAGCTCAGAACACTGGGGCCTGTGGAACAGCCCACTACAGGAAAGGTGTTCCCCATGGTATTATGAACAATGGAACTTTGCTGGCAGTTAAATTTAAGGACCACAGAGTTTTCCAGATACTGTCATCAGTTCATTCTGTTGCGGATGTAGAAGTTGGCCAAAATCACCCTGGAACTGGGTGCCCAATCACTAAACCCAAGATTATACATGACGACAACAAGTTCATGAGGGCAGTTGACAGGTGTGATCAGACGGTGGCCTATTCTTGCATCAGGCAATGTATCATGAAATGGTCGATCTGTTTTCCTTAAGCATCCTGAATGCTTACATCCTGTACAAGCAAAGAACCCGGTCACCTGTGCTGCAAAGGACCTTTTGAAGGGAGCTTGTGAAGGAGCTTGTTAGGAATTCTGGCATCTCCCATTCTCTCACTCCTAGAGGCTGCCCAAGGAGGTCAGCCGAAGGCTTAACCTGTCTTCAAGTTGGAGGTCACTTCCCAGAGAAATACTGGGTACTGGGAAGAAGTCCAACATCACCCGGGCATGTGTGGTTTGCTTTCCTGCCCAAAAGAAGATCCTAAAAAGGACAGGAGATAAAAGGAAGAGGCCAGGGAAAGAGTCTAGCTTTCAGTGGAGTGTCTGTAAAGTAGCACTCTGTATGCAAGACTGCTTCCAGTTGTACCACACTGTTGAGGACTTATAATGTTGCTGCCTACATTCAAAGACATGATGCCAATAATGACAATGTGGATGCTGAAACCAATTGATTAACTGATCATAACCATTATTCATCTTTTTTTTGTTAGGCTTTGAAGTTAATTCAAGCACAGAAATAGATAAATTTAGACCATAGACCCCTACAACTGAGCTGACTGTTTTGAACTAATTCAAAACCAAACAATGTATATAAATTCCTAATTTGATTATGTGTTGACTTGACAAATATGCTATCTTGCTACTGTTTTGAGAAAAAAAAATGCTGTCACAGTCACAGGAATTGTTTGAAATGTTTGATGAAAAGTAAAGCTTTCAATGCTGTTGAAACAGTAACAACTAATCATATTGGTGCTACCAATAACAATAATAGTAATAGTAATTATTATTTATAGGGGCTAGCTTAAGAACTTCATTGTTCCTCTATCCTCTAGGCTCCAATTATGATTAAAATATGCTTCTTTTTATTTTGCCACGACCATGGACCGAACTGAAAAATAATCTATCGTTGAGGCCAAACAAGTGATTACTGTGGTAATGTTCATTTGAAAACAACTAAAAATATCCGGATTATGCTAGCAGTCAATAAATGAGCAAAAAAAAACTGTTCGTTTTTCATGAAGGCCTGGGAGGGGGGATAGGGGAATGGGAAGGAGACGAGGAGTCTAGTTCACTAGGGCCTGGGCACAACCAAGAGAATATTCTCGTGGCATAACTTATCGCCTTAGCGGGGTGGAGGATTTTAGTTGGAGCCGGTTCACACGCTTTTCAGGGGAGCGGGGGGCGGAGGGGAGACAGTCGTCGCCAACAGACTATGGAAGCAGGGAGGGGGGGGGCCTTGACTACCAATGGAGATCAGAGGGGGGAGGATCAAATTAATTTAGTCGTAGTACAACCAAAATCCTCAAAACCCCTTTTCCCCCCCACCCCTGCTACCTAGGAGATAAATAACGACCGGCCCTTGGAGTTAACAAACCCCGCTGGAGTTGGGGGGGGGATTTAAAAGAAAGTGCTTACTGTAACTTTCGCTTCCTGCTTCGACACTCACGTTCACTGTTGGAAACAAAAAAGATAAGCTCTCATTTCTATACATGAGATTGATATTTACTCTTTCCTTTATTTACCACATGTGATCATTTTGGGCTGGGTGTTGAAGTTCCATTTTCCAAATTATTTAAATTTTGAAGTAAAAGATAATCATGAGTATGTTACGTTTTACATGTAATATAAATTGTTGTAAATTTGCTATTTTCTCACGACTGTATGAAAATCTACTTCTCGCCAAAAAAACCTTCGGCTAATTCGAGAACTGTAATATTGACAGTCACTATAGTAAGTTGTAAAATGACTTTATTGAATAGTGATTATTCCGTGATCGTCAAGTTCCAAAATTTCCAATTGCAATAAGTCGAGCCAATCAGCAAAATCGGTTTGACCTAGACTTTAAAGATTTTTGATAACTTTATTTTCAATGAGTTTCTGTACCTTAAAATCAGGAGTTGTAATTTGCGGTTTAGATTCAGGGGTTTTAATTCATACCTTAAATTCTCTCTTAGTTTCTCCTGGGAGGAAAAGGGTTAAGCATAACCTCGATAACGGCTGCCCTTTAGAAGTACATACTTTCGGTAAAATTATGGTTTCTATGCAACAATCCGAAAAACTAATAACACCTTCATGTCACATATGTTATTTTTACTTTTATTCTATAAAATATAGTAAGCTCACTTCTATGTGTTAATAGAGCCCATTTTATCATTCTCTGCGATCGCTTTTTTACGCCTTCACGATATTCATTTCGCAATTGGCCTCGACTCATTTAGCTGAGGGATGCGCTTTTGAAAATCAAATCGAAATGATATTTACATAACTAAGCATCAGAAACGAAAAGAAAACCATTTCCTTGGGGCATGGTTCGATTGCTACGTCACATCTCTCAACACACTTTATTTAACATTTAACCAAAGAAGTTTCTATTCCAGATATTGACTCAAAATTGAGGTAAGGATATTATTTTTCTCTATTGACATTAACGTTTTGACTCTTGATTGATCAATGAGTACCAAATTCTAAGAGGGCTCTTGAATTTTACATGTAAACAACGAAATTAAATTTCACCCAGCTTCTCGATAAATTGAGAGGATCAAGTTCCACGTAAGGGTAATTTTTTGAAAATTCACGCACAACGTAATGTAATCAAATGTTTCTTTTTCGTTTCGCCTATTTTATACATACTACAGACACCAGAAACTATTTTCAAAAATAACTCATGTGTCATTTTCTACATCATACACGTAGACTAGAGACTTCAACTCTCCAAGGAAGGTTAGGGAACTGGGAAGTAAATAGGATTGCAAGTCGCTAGATTTAGCTCTCAAAAAAGTGCGTATATTCGGATGTTTAAGAAAAACTATAAAAAGCAACGGAGATCACGATACAGCTCAGTAAGTTATTTGACCGGGATATTGTTTCCGTTTCTCTGGAAGTTTGGATTAGAAATTGCTCGGTGAGAAAGCTCTCATCGGCACTGTTTTATGAGCATCTCGTGGGCTTTTTGCGAAGCCTGCGGTGGGTATTTCTGTACATGTCACTCTTATGATTTCCAGTCAGATTCCTAGCGGTAGACCCCCATGGGCGAGCGAAGCGGGCTGGCTCGATTCTTGTAGACCCAGCGAGAAGCTTGTTAGATACTTGTGCAACAAAGCCGATAACCGCAGCCACAGGAGCCCACAAAGGCGGTTATGATGGGTATATTAAATTCTTACAACCCTAAATGGAAGGAAAATATGGTATCAAGTTGGTAGGCACGGTGAACTGGTTTTTCCCTTAGAAGGCTTCATCAGCCGATATTCCTCCGTACGGCCCTCAAGCTCGGTTAAGAAGAACTTAGTATCGCCGCGGTGAGTTGTAAAGCCGGCGACTGTTAATTTCTTCACATCACTTTTTAGGTTATAGGATAGCAGCATACAGAATGTTCATGAGATCGGGCTTTCTTCCTTTGCTCATGATCGGTTTCCTTTCGAGCCTCTTTTTTGCCACTTATTTGATAATTAAGGAGAAGAAAATCTCGCCATTGGGAAGACGCTTGGTGCAGGTACTGGAGACGGTGACGTTCACAGAAAATGGTAAGTTAAATCTAAAAAGTAACTTAACTGTGAAAACCTCTGTTAGTTCTCTTACCCCTAAGAGTGACTAGCATCTAATTTCTCCTTACGGTATCGCCGCTGAATCAAACATTAGAGAGATGAGAATTAACGAAACAATGATAAGAAGAAGCTTTTCAACGTTAAACAATTCTCCTCGTCATTGAGAGAGGAAATGGATGGCAAACGGTGAGGGGAATAAGGGGGGGTAAGTTTCTAAAGAAACTGTGGTGCTGCGTCACTGGGAGAGTATAGCAGGTAATTTAGTGTTACATTAAGTTTAGTGTTGAAAACGTAAATTGGCCACCGTAAAGGATAAAAAAGCTGACGTTTCGAGCGTTAGCCCTTCGTCAGAACAATTGTAAGGGGATATGCATACTGATTTTGGATTTAATTGGTATTTCTTCACCACGTTCTGTAGTTGGTATAGAAAGCTTGCGCCACCTTCTCGATCAATCGGACGCGAGTAAGAGGCTGGTTACAGGCCGGCTAAATCAGTTTGAGTTCCCCAAAGGGTCTTAATATTTTTTGTAATAAGCGGCCGTTGAGATTCAGTACTCGATAATGTTAGTGCGATCATCCCGAAAAAAATACCGATGGTACTAAGAAAATATTCCATGAATGCAATATGGATACGAGATAGCAGAAAGTCAACTGTAAAGTAAAGTCAATTGGTAAAGTTTATCTGTGAAATACTTTTTCATCAAAAGACCCAAATGGAAATATCGCAAACGATGAAGCACAGAAAATATGGCAAACAATTTGATCGTGTAGTCTGACTGTCATGGCGAGGGAAGTCCTGAGAGGGACTTTTGTCGGTAATAGTGACAGACGTTTCGCCAACATTAGCGTAGGTCATCATTAGAGTTCAGGCTAAAAATTCGATCTGAAGTGAGATTTGAAGGGGTAGAGACTGGGTCTAGACAAGAGACGTCTAATCTCGACCCAATCCCTTCTCTTCCGTCAGTACAATTTTGCGTTCATCTTCGCTCCAAGACTGACTGTTTTGATTTGATTTTTTCAGAGGAAGCGCCCTCACTTTCCTATGCAGAGAAGTTTCTTAAAGCCTACGATGAAGTGGAGACCTTTGTGATGTTCATTGGTTATCCTCGCAGCAGCCATAGTTTGGTTGGCGCCATCTTGGATGCTCACCCTGAAATAATTATTCCACACGAGTTTAATCTGTTGGATAAATGGAGAAGATACAATCTTCCAGCGTTCAAAAGGAAAAACCTACTAAAATATAAGTTATATTTTGATCTTCACCAGACCTCTCTCAAGCAAGCCATCTTTGGAATACGGGCAAGCCGAAATAGAACAGTTCTTGGCGGGGAATTTACATACTTATACAATGTTCCAGATTTATGGCAAGGTGGATACAAAAACGGGATCAAGGTAGGATCAGAAGACGATTTTCATAGCTCATGGGTTATATTCTTATCCCACAGTCAACCCAAGCTCATCCTAAAGAATAAAGAGGATGCACCTGCATCGGTGGTGGGTTGTACAAGATAATTTGGTATATCTCCTGAGTTTATAATGTAAATTGGCCACCGTCAAAAATTTTTACGTTGAGGTTTCGAGTGTTAGCCATTCATCAGCTTGACGAAGAGTGTTAGCCATTCATCAGCCTGACGAAGAGTGTTTGCTATTCATTAGCCTGACGAAGAATGTTAGCCATTCATCAGCCTGACAAAGACCTAACGCTCGAAACGTCAACCTTGAAAAATTTTCGGGCAGAATGCGTGACATAATCAATGATTCATAACCGATAAAACGGCAAATTTGAACGCGACCTCGCCTAAGCCTACTTTTCTGAGTTTTAAAAGAGCTAACTTCTAGATCATGTTGTATCTGTATTTTGCAAATGAAATTTGTAACTGAAATGAAAGACATTTAAGAAGTAGAAGGATTTTCCTTTTTCACTTGAAACAATTCTCTAACTTTTATATGAAAGTCATATCATGATCGATTTTCCTAAAAACCCTTACTACTCGCCAAAAATCAACGCACGGCAAATGGCTGACACACCTTCCCTCTGACAGAATCCGTTTTAATTTTGAAAGTTAAAACGGATTTTGAAGAACTATATACCTGTCAAATTAAACAGTGCCCACCGTGGAATCAATAGCAATTGTCGATTTCTTCACAGTTGTCGCGAATTCTAAAATCTTTCGGTCCGTCAGCTGTTAAATCTTACCCTTACCGACCGTATCAAAAATATTAGTTTTGCCGGGAGCTCTGCCGTAGCTTTCTGAAACCGAAATACAGCTTTTTAAGTTTTCCTCAGAGTTGAAAGGATCTTCGGAGAATGGTTTTCATAGATGCTCCTAAAACTAAAAATTGTCACATAATTTTGCTGGATAACTTTATCTAATGCCTTTCTTAATAGTAAATATAGTTTCGCTCTGAAGAAAAAGCTAATAAGCGATTTGACCTTTCGACAAGCAACAATCTGTTCCTACCTCGAAAAATATTTCAACGAGGCCTGCGTTGTTCCAGATAAGACTGAACTTTCACAAGGACTTTTCGAAGTTCTATGTGAGTGACTGAGTTGGTACGTAGTGACAAAAAGCATAGCCTACACAGAGAGCGAAACTCTTTCCAAACCGCATTTAAATTTGAGTTCGAACACCCTCATTTTATTTGATGTATTTTCGGTACTAGTTTTACCACGACTTTTCCTTTAGGTGATAGGAGACAAAAAAGGGGGACGAACTTCGCAGCTTATAAGTAAAGACCCAAACAGTATCAAACAGTTAGAAGAAATCGCTAAAAACGTGGGAGTGCCAATGAAATTCATACACATTGTCAGGAACCCATTTGATAACATCGCTACCATGGTACTTCGCAGAGCAGGCGAGCGTGATAATGTTAGGGAAGAAGGAGCAAAAGTAAGTTGATCCATGATATTTGAATAGTTGTCAAATTACATTCTCATTATTAGTAATATCATTATCATTATTATATATACATAAGAATTATAACGAGAAAAAGGATAGGTTGAGAGCATTTGAACAATATACAATAACGTGTGAAATGAACATGATAACCCAATATCGGCAGCGGATATTGTAGTTATGATGTGGAGTTGAAAACCTACCTAGTTTCCAAGCCCCTCGACCGTGTGGGGTTCTCAAACTTGTGCAAACTCAGAGGGAAGTGTCTTCTTTGGTACATTGTTTCAAAGATGCATAACATGGCAATTAGTGATATGGATTTCGTATGATGTCATGAATTATGAAACCTCGTGCCTGTGTTTTCTGCTTCTGCCTTCGGCAGATGACTCAAATCTTGGTTTGATTATTAGTGATATCATGCTCAACCTCATCCAATTGCTCATTATCATTATCATCATCGTCGTCATTGGTGCCACTGTCACTGTCGGTATCGCTGTTGTAATCTTTGTAATTGCAATTATTACGAAAACCACCATTAACGATTTCATAATAAGCATCAACGTCACTGTAAACATTAAAAGGAGTCTTCATTATTTTCGTTATCGTTCTCAAAACCATAATAAATACATTTTTACCATTTGTCACTAATAGGTGAACAGCCCAGTGATTTTGGAGAAGTTGATAAAGATCTACTTCAACCTTACACAGGCTAACCAGCGCGTCAGAGAACGGTTTGGGGATGCAGTTATCGATATTCCAGGACATGAAACAATACTCAGACCGAAAAAAACACTACAAAAATTGTGTGATCATTTAGGTGTGACATGTACAGAGGACTACGTAGAAAAATGCAGTAAGATCTTGTATGGATCTCCTTCTGTCACAAGAGATAAAATTGTTTGGACTGAAGAACAAAAACAGCGGGTCACCGAGCTGATGAAAAAATATTTGTTTCTAAGAGACTTTTCGTTTGACGATTTCCTATCTTAAACTCACAGGTAGCAGCCGCAGAATAATTTTCAAGTTTGCGTTTAAAATTAGGTTTCATTGGGCTTGCATTTCTACTCCCTGTGATTTTACTAGAAAAACGTTACTAATCAGCCAAGCACATGCGTTTTTCCGACAAGTTAACCAATCAGATTTATTTATCTATGTATCGCCGTACCAAAGGCACTGGAGGATTTCCCAGTCCTCCCATCCTCTCCCATTGCCTCTTGAGCCTTAATCTGACAGTTGGCTGCTAACCTTTTCTTTTCCATGTTGTGATCGTTCTGAACAATACAGTGACTCCTCAGTTAACAGTTGGCTTAAAAACAAGCTACACGATGTTTTAAGTCATTTAATGAACGCCTAACTACCTCATTTTGAAGGAAGCTTTGAAATATATGTTCGTTACGATATAACAACGCAAAATAAGCAACAGTGGACGAAGAAGGTGTATGGTTATTTAACCCCTTAACTCCCAAGATCTGATTGTGAATTCTTCCATTAAGATATAACACTTTTCCTTATGAATTAGTTACGAGAACTTGGTGCTAGATCAGGATAACAACTTCTACCTGGTAAGTTTGAGTACTCTCATAACCGGTTTTCTGGATTTTGTTACATTTTAATCAACTCTGGGAGTTCAGGGTTAAGGAAAAAGGGATTGTAAATTTTGACCTAAAAATTAACGAAGCCTAACTTTTAATTTACACAAACCATGTGGCAGATCTTTCAATTTTTAACCATTCATATTACTTTTTTTTTTTTCGGTTTAGCGCCAATCCAACGCGCACCAGTCCACACCGTGCCAATTCACTGCAAGCCAATCCATAGCGAGCCAATCCAAACCGAGGCTATTAGTGATCAAAGCCCAGACCCTTTCTATAACATTCTCGAGTAACTCCCAGACACCGACGATTGTGACGACACGACTGAATGCCGTTGCAGGGAGGTGTGAAGAATATACAACAATACCACCTACCTATTATTTCTAATAATGCCGTTTAGTTTATCGTCATTCGAATATATTATCCCAGGGTACGGCACATTTCAATCAACAAGTCTGTCGTAATTTTTTTTAGTGATTTTTGCAGGTACACTTTAATTTGAAAGCCTCAGAGGTCCACTAAGGACATACTAGATGTATCCTCCAATATGTTTAAAAAGCTTAATTTACTAGAAGTAAGTCTGGACCATTCTTAAACATGTAAGCAAAGTTCTCTATGCGTCATCGGGGAAATAACAGGCATTTTTTCCTTGTTTTACATGCCCACTTGGCTAAAGACTAATATTTTAATGTTTGGAAACGGGAAACTTGTTAAGAAAACTTTTTAATGATGCAATTGAATTCCTCCACGCGCAAATCAGGACTCTTGCTCAGGGGACTGGTTAAAGAACAATTTAGTCAAGTATGAAACAAATTGTGTGAAAATAGAAATATATTTCTTTTTATGAGCGTGCAGTTGCAATGTAGCGAGTTGCGTTGCCTAGAAACTTGACGTACTCCTGAAGAAACGTGTCCTGATTAATGCGAACACCGATCAGGTGTTGAGTAAAAGACTATTAAGGCCAACATTTTGTGGCATTTTTTTTTTTTTGTTCATCCCGTATTGGCGATTTTTCTTTTAATCAAGCAGAACAAAATTAACGAGGAAAGGAATTTTCAAACTTCTTGAGTTTATACAGAGGAATGTTGTACTGGACATAATTCATAAATATATATTCCGAGTGCGTTCAAAGTCGACAAATATGAATTGTGGCTTTAATTCCCAAGTGAAATTTTTAACTTGACTGAGGATGATAAATTTGTCCAGCATTTACTTTAAAGGAGTTATTTTCCTAAGAGAACCCTATTTTTGCGGATCGAGGGCAACATGAAGAATAACTGCAAAAAGATTAAACTTCCAAAATTTTCAGGCTATCATAGGTGCCTGAATCCATCACTACAGAAAATCTTTTGACCGAAGTCAAACTTAAGTTTATTAATTTAAATTTCCATTTATTTCAACATCTTTACATCCTCAGGTTGGTTATAGTTGAAGCATAATCATAATAATAATCCTCTAATCGCTCTGACGAAGGGCTAACGCTCGATACGTCAGCTTTTTTACCCTTTACGGTGGCTAATTAACGTTTTCAACCCAGTTGTTAACACTAAATTACCTGCTATATTCTCCCACCGACGCAGCATCACAGTTTCTTTAGAAACTTACCCCTTTATTATAGTTGAATTATAGCTTATCTCTTTCTCTTCTACGGGTGTTCATTACGTAAAATCTCCCAATAGTTCTGATACACATTCCAACAGAGAGGTTATGAGAATTGTGACAATAATCAACGGAGGATTTACATAACCTTCATGTAAATTCCAATTTTTATAAAGCTACTGTAGCTTGAAAAGAATTGTGGAGTCATCTTTCGGGAGAATTGACTCTCAAGGAGTGAAAGACTTATAACCCATCCAGCAAATCAACCATATTTAGTTTAACCAGGTTTAACTGGATGAAAATCAAAAATAGAAAACTGAAAGACTAAGTTTTTTACATAGTGTTCAAGAAATCACCTTTACTTTCACTGCGCTAAAGATGAAGTCGACAAACATCAGTTTAAGTAGCTTCTATCAAGAACACAATTTGAATTGTGTTGGACAAAACAGGTACAGAAGTCGTTTTAGTTTTGGTGTAGATAGAGTATTAGATTGAAAGTAGAAAAACTTAAATAAATAAAACCCTATCATCAATTTAGCTCTTTCTAATAAGTGAAATGATAAGGTGTAACAAGAGAATAACAAGTTACTCTCGCTTGAATTGTATATAATGATTTTAATAAATATATATTTACTTTATATAACATTATCCTTACGTTTCCATTTATTAACGCTATCCACTGGATAAATCTCCAACCGATGGATAGCGAGCCGCTTGGATAGTGAACCCTGAACGTTAATCTTCGTTTCGTTGCATTTACAAGATGTGATCATTTTGGGACGAGTGTTGAAGTTTCATTTTCAAAATTATATATTGAGGCAAAACGACAAAAGAATGTTACGGTAACCTAATATCTACTTTGACTAATTTGTCGTTTCTCAAGACTCAGTGAAAATTTACATTTCGACAAAATTACCTCGGGTTAATTCGAGAACCGTAACTTTGACTAAGAGCTTTAATGAATTGCAATATGACTTTACTGAAAAGTGACTGTCAAGATTGTCGATAAATTTCTAACTGCACTGACAATAAGCCGAGCGAATCAAACATGAAGTATTTTTGACACCTTGGCTTTGTGACACGTGACACAGAGCTTCTTTTCGACAAATTTCCTAAGCGTGGTCATGATAATAGGCGTCAATTACACGCACATACTTTCAGCAAAATTGTGGTTTCTAGGCAACTATTCGCAAAACTAAGAACACCCACATGTCATACATATTGACCTTGAAATATAGTTAGAATCCATTTTTATCGTTTGCGATAACTATTTACGCCTTATTTACTTTCATTTTGCTATTTGCCGGCTAGTAATAGGCCATTTCCGTCATATTAATTCTAACGTGACTCCGAGGCTTGGGGGAATAAAACCTCGATGTGATTTTCTTTGTTTTATTCTCTAAAGCCTCGGAGCCAAGTTTGAATTTTAATTCAGAGAAAACGGCCTAAGGGATGCGCCTTTAAAAGTCATTAACTTAAATAATGATATTTATTTAAACATCAGAGACAAAAAGATTCACGTGAGCATGGTTCGATCGCTACGTCGCAACTCTCAAGGCACTTTCATTTTTGTTAACTAAGAAGTTACCATTCAAAAAACTGACTCAAGGTTGGGGTAAGAAAATTATTTTTCTCTATCGACATGTATGTTCTGATTCTTAATTGAATGTGGCTCTTGAACTATACATGTAACCCTTAAGATTTCAGTTCACCCAGCTTCTCGATAAATTGGGAGGATTAAGTTCCACAAAACATTAGCATAATTTTTGAAAATTCAAGCAAAACGTAATTAAATCATTTTTTTGTCGTTCCATTCGTTTCATTTACACTACGGATGTCAGAAAGTCTTTTCAAAAATTATTTACACGCCATTGTTTCTATCACACATATAGGCTTGAGACTTCAATACTTCCTGGGTTATTCTTTTATCACTGAGCTATTCACTCTGATTAGCAATATTTATATTGGATATTTTTCTGACATGCAAAACAGAAAACCTTCCGCACACCACATGTTTAGGAGTAATTGACATTGGACCAATAATTAAATAGTAACAACTAATCATATTGGTGCTACTACTAATAATAATAATAGCAATAGTAATAGTAATTATAATTTATAGGGGTTAGCTCAAGAACTTCATTGTTCCTCTATCCTCTAGGGGAGGACGAGGTGCCTGGTTCTTTAGGGACTGGGCACAACCAAGAGAATATTCTCGTGGCATAACTGATCACCTTAGCGGGGTGGAGGATTTTAGTTGGAGTTGTTCACACGCTTTTCAGAGGGGCGGGGCGGAGGGGAGACAGTCATCGCCAACAGACTATGAAAGCGGGGGGGGGGGGGGGATCTTTTACTGGTCGTAGTACAACCAAAATCCTCAAAACCCCTTTCCCCCCCCCCACCCCTGCTACCTGGGAGATAAATAATGACCGGCCCCTAGGGGTTAACAAAACCCGCTGGGGATGGGGGGGGGATTTAAAAGAAAGTGCTTACTGTAACTTTCGCTTCCTGCTTTGACACTCACGTTCACTGTTGGAATAAAAAGAGATCATTTTGGGCTGGGTGTTGAAGTTTCATTTTCCAAAATATGTTTTGAAGTAAAAAGTAATAATGAATTTGTTACGTTATACATGTAATATAAATTGTTATCTATTTTCTCACGACTGTATGAAAATCTACTTCTCGCCAAAAATACCTCACGCTAATTCGAGAACCGTAATTTTGGCTAATAACTATAGTAAATTGTAAAATGACTTTATTAAATAGTGACTATTCCGTTTGGTTTGACCTAAACTTTAAGGATTTTTGATAGCTAAATTTTCAATAAATCTCTGTACCTTAAAATCAGGAGTTGTAATTTGCGGTTTAGATTCAGGGGTTTTAATTCGTACCTTAAATTCTCCCTTGGTCTCTCCTGGAAGGAAAAGGGTTAAGCATAATCTTGATGAATGGCTGCCCTTTAGAAGTACATACTTTCGGTTAAATTATGGTTTCTATGCAACAATCCGAAAACTAATAATACCTTCATGTCACACCTATGTTCTTTTTACTTTTATTCTATAAAATATAGTAAGCTCACTTCTATGTGTCAATAGAGCCCATTTTTATTGTTTGTGATCGCTTTTTTACGCCTTCACAACATTCATTTCGCAATTGGCCTCGACTCATTTAGCTGAGGGATGCGCTTTTGAAAATCATTAGCATAAAGAAATGATATTTACATAACTAAGCATCAGAAACAAAAAGAAAACCATTTCCTCGCTACGTCACATCTCTCAAGACACTTTATTTAACATTTAACATTTAACCAAAGAAGTTTCTATTCCAGAAATTGACTCAAAATTGAGGTAAGAATATTATTTTTCTCTATCGACATTAACGTTCCGACTTTTGATTGATCAATGAGTGCCAATTTACAATAGGGCTCTTGAATTTTACATGTAAACAACGAAATTAAATTTCACCCAGCTTCTCGATAAATTGAGAGTATCAAGTTCCACAAAACGTGAGGGTAATTTTTTGAAAATTCACGCACAACGTAATGTAGTGAAATGTTTCTTTATCGTTTCGCCTACTTTATACATACTCAGACACCAGAAACTATTTTCAAAAATAACTAATGTGTCATTTTCTATATCATACACGTAGACTGGAGACTTCAAGTCTCCAAGGAGGGTTAGGGAACTGGGAAGTAATTAGGATTGCAAGTCGCTAGATTTAGCTCTCAAAAAAGTGCGTATATTCGAATGTTTGAGAAAAACTATCTACACTGTATGGTGGATATATAAAGTAATGGAGATCACGATACAGCTCAGTAAGTTATTTGACCGGGATATTGTTCCCGTTTCTCTGAAAGTGTGGATTAGAAATTGCTCGGTGAGAAAGCTCTCATCGGCACTGTTTTATGAGCATCTCGTGGGCTTTTTGCGAGGCCTGTGGTGGGTATTTCTGTCTCTCTCACTCTTAAGATTTCCAGTCAGATCCCTAGCGGTAGACCACCCATGGGCGAGCGAAACGGGTTGGCTCGATTCTTGTAGACCCAGCGAGAAGCTTGTTAGATA